CTCTACGGGAACCTGTTACAGGGACTTCCGTTAAAGTGCAAGGTGGACGACTGCAAGGATGACCTCTGGAGATACTACGACCAACTAACGAATACCCGCAGGCTGCTTGGCACGTCCCAAGACGTAGCTAAGTTGGAAGCCCAAGAAGCGGAAGAACTGGAGAAGGATGTCGAGCATATGGCTAAACTGAAGTATATGAAAAGCGTCGAACTTTACTACCAGGACCGCAGGAGAGCCCTGAAGAAGTACGACGAGAAAGCCAGAGATATGCTCCGACGGGAAAATGCGAGACCCACTCCACGCATCGAAAGGAGAGCCATGGAGCAACTAGACACGTTCTCCACGCCTCCGAGGGAAGATAGTGCATGGGTGAGAGGACAGCGGGAACTATCAACGACAGACGCAACAGAGACTGATCACCCCTGGCACGCGTATGTCTACTGGGAGTATTGCAGCGAAGATGACTGCAAGCTCCACTGGAAAAAGAAACACCAGAATCAGTTGTTTCCCCGATCCTCGCCCAGGATACACTTCAGAGACGCAGAGCAAGTTCACGCCCTCAGGCGAAGCCAGTCTGAAGGGGACTTGCCTATCAAAAGCGAACAGGTATACAAGAAATACCCACATCTGCTAGACGAAGCAGAAGAGCGAGGGAAACGATCTCCCCAAGGACCACCATTGGAAGCGGATGAATACTATCCTTCCTCGGACGAGTCAAAAAACTAGGAGTCCTCGACGGTAGGCCACCGGCGAGCGACATGAAGAGGCCTAGTACAGACCAGCTATGCGCCACGACGGGCAGCATGCAACTATATGTGGTCGCTAAGATACAACAGCGACACCTCCGAGCAATGATTGACTCAGGAGCGACGGGCAACTTTATGACAAAGAAAGTAGCAGACACGCAAGGTTTCAAGACGCAATTGAAAACCGAACCATACCCGTTAATGGTCGTAGATGGAGAGCCCATCTCGACTAATGAAGGAATGGTGACCCACGAAACGGTCCCATTGGAAATGGTCATGCTACACGGGCACAAGGAAACGATTCAGTTTGACATCGTGCACATGGACAACCATGCGTGCATCCTTGGTATGCCATGGCTCAAGAAACACAACCCCCAGATCGACTGGTGGAACGAGAAAGTTGTGATGAGCCAGTGCGCGTGTGAACAACGGACGGACACACGACAACGGGAGAAACCCTCCCAGGGCTGGAAGGAGTTATGTGCAACCTCCGAGCTCGATGACCTAGCCCAGGCATCCTCACCGACGAGTATACCGGTGGAGTACAAGGAATACGAGCAATTATTCCAGGAAGGCCCTAAGAACGAGGCGCTTCCTAAGCACCAACCATGGGATCACGAGATACCTTTGGAGAAAGACAAGAGTCCACCGTTCGGACCAATATATCAGCTATCGGAAAAGGAGCTGAAGGTACTTAAGGAGTACATCGATGATAACCTAGCGAAAGGATTCATCAGACCATCCACATCACCAGCAGGAAGTCCGGTGCTTTTCGTACCAAAGAAAGACGGCTCCCTACGGTTATGTGTGGACTATCGAGCGTTGAACAACATCACAATCAAGGACAGGTATGCCCTGCCGTTAATCAACGAACTACACGATAGATTTCAAGGAGCAAAGATCTTCAGTAAGCTAGATCTGCGAGGAGCATACAACCTGATCCGAATCAAGGCTGGGGAAGAGTGGAAAACAGCATTCCGCACCCGCTATGGCCTATTCGAGTATCAAGTCATGCCCTTTGGGCTAACAAATGCACCCGCATCCATGCAACGACTGATGAATGATGCTTTGCATGAATACTTAGACATCTTTACCATCGTCTACCTAGACGACGTCCTGGTGTATTCAGCAACCAAGGAGGAGCATGTCAAGCATGTCAAACTCGTCCTGAAGAAACTAAAGGAGTACAGCTTACTCCTCAAACCAGAGAAGTGCGAGTTCCATAAAAACCAAGTCGAATTCTTGGGTTACATTATTGGAACGCACGGCATCAAGATGGACCAAGCAAAAGTAACGGCAGTGTTGGAATGGCCAACACCGACCACGGTCAAGGAAGTGCAAGCCTTCCTAGGCTTCGCCAACTTCTACCGAAGATTCATCTCGGGATATTCCAAGGTAGCTCAACCACTCACGGAGCTTACCAGAAAGGATCTCGAATTCAAATGGACGGACAAGGCAGAGGCTGCTTTCCAGGAACTTAAGACGAAGTTCACGGAAGCACCTATCCTTGCTACATTTGACCCTGCAAAGAAGATCATCCTCGAAACGGACTCTTCTGACTTCGCAATTGGAGCATGTCTGAATCAACCAGACGAGAACGGTAAGTTCAAACCAATCGCGTACTACTCTAGGAAACTGTCGCCCGCGGAACTCAATTACGACATCCACGACAAGGAGCTACTGGCTATTGTCGTTGCCTTTGAGCAGTGGCGAGTATATCTTGAGGGATCCACCTACCCTGTGCAGGTATGGACGGATCACAAGAACCTTATATATTTCACCACGACCAAGGTTTTAAACCGCAGACAAGTCCGCTGGGCAGAAACCCTCGCAGCCTACAACTTCACGATAACCTATCGCAAGGGCTCCGAGAATGCAAGAGCAGATGCTCTCAGCAGACGGACCGACTACGCCGGCCCAAAGGAAGAAAGACCTAGAGCAATTCTGAAGAAAACAGATGCAGGAATACAGTACAACGAGTTACTAGCGACGATCTCAGTCATCGAAGATACAGAACTTGAGGAAAGACTCAAGAAAGCTTACGCAACAGACGAATGCGCCAAGCGAGTCTTGTCCAAAGTCGAAGGCGACTTCACCATCGACGAACAAGGATTGATTCGATACAAAGGCTTAGTGTATGTCCCAAGTCAAATGAGACGCCCGCTGGTGCAAGAACAACACTCGTTACCAGCACACGGTCATCAGGGAGTAACACGAACCTTCGAACGAATCACCCGACACTACTACTTCCCAGGTATGAGGAAGCAGGTAGAGACAGTGGTAAGAGAGTGCGACATTTGCAGCAAGTCAAAATCCAATAGGCACCTGCCATACGGACAACTCAAGTCGACACCAGTACCAAAAGGAGCGTGGAAATCAATAGCTTTGGACTTCATCGTCAAGCTTCCACCCTCCAAGGACCCGTTAACAGGAATAGAATACGACTCTATCCTCGTCATCACGGAAAGACTCACGAAATATGGGAAGTTTATACCATATCTAGAAGCTAGCGACGCCGAGGCGCTCGCATATACCTTCATTCGAGTCATATTAGCCGATCATGGGATGCCAGAAGAAATCATCTCAGATAGAGACAAGCTCTTTACTTCGAAATTCTGGAAATCATTGATGGCGCTACTGGGAACAAATCATAAGCTGTCAACAGCTTTTCATCCCCAGACAGACGGCCAAACAGAAAGATTAAATCAGACCCTTGAACAGTATCTGCGAAGCTATGTCAATCATCAACAGGATAACTGGGTTCAGATCTTACCCATCGCACAGTTTGCATATAACAGCGCGATGACAGAAGCAACGAAAGTCTCACCGTTCTTTGCCAATTATGGCTACCAGCCAGAAGCATATAGGCAACCAAGACCGGATGAATCACGAGCTGAACAAGCCCTGATCGTGGTGGAACAACTGAAATCATTCCACGAACAACTTGCGATGGACATCCAATTCTTAAATGAACGATCCGCCGCATACGCAAACAAGAAGCGCAGTATGGAACCTGCCTTCAAGGAGGGGGATAAAGTATACCTACTCCGGAAACATACCAAAACGAAACGACCAAGCACAAAGTTGGACTTCAAGAAATTGGGACCATTCAAAATATTGAACAAAGTCAGCTCAGTTAATTACAGACTGCAGCTACCCAGGAAGTCTAGACTACACCCGGTATTTCATGTCTCACTACTGGAACCAGCAAGAGGAAATACCCCAATTGTGACCGACACCGAACTCCAACCCGAGAATGAGATAATCGAATATGAGGTCGAAGCGATCCTAGACAGAAGGTTAGTAGGACGTCGAGAAGAGTTTTTGATAAAATGGGAAAATTACGAACCTACGGATAATTCGTGGGAACCAACAAGGAACATCAGCAAAGAACTGCTGGAGGAATATCGACGCCGCCATCCGCCAGCCATTGATCCCAAGATGCAGGGGAGTAGGCCAGTGGATCGGAGGAAGCGAGGGTCCCGGTCACAGACGAGGAGGCAGCGCTAACTGCCTGTTCCTCAGTGTAATGGTGGGTGCACCAGATATGAGAATCTAGCCACCCAAGGAAGGGATGAATTTACTAAGACAACACACTGTCTTAGGAAACAGAGCCAAAGGGTTGTAGCTTAGACTATTCCACAACGCAGCAATCAGGTGTATAATGTGGTGAAGTGGTTTAGACAAGTTGCAACAAATGTTGAGTCTGAGAACTCAGGGGTAAGTCAGAGGTTAGCACCTCACTGACTTTTCAAAAACAGAGAATAACAAGATCAATGCTTGGAAGCTTGGAAAAGACGTAGAAGTATGTGCTAGTCGATTTACTGTATTGCCTGCTTGCCCTTTCTTAAGGAAAGGGCAATCCTATTTATGCCAAAGGAGTGTAGTTCTCTCATTTTCCATGACTTTCCATGACTAACCAGGCTTGGTAAATGTATTAGAAATCAAGTGCGACCCACAACTAGCTTGCTAATCATGTAGTGAACGTAAGAGAATCCCATAGAACCATCTCTTGGGTTCCTAGCCTATAGGAAGTGAAAAGGAGGTCCAAGGTCAGAGTACCTATAGACAAATTATGTCATAACTTAACCAATCTTGTGGGTAACTAAGGAGCGATGACGTGTAATGAATCATAGAGGGTTGTAGAAGCTTCTAGAGCTATCGTTCATGTTCCTAGGCCTCTAGTTGGTAGAGATATGCCATGTGGTAGTATTGACCCACCCCCTTAAGGAGGAGATTTTCTTAATAACTTGTTCAATGAGTGTCCAAATGATATGCCGTGATGTATGTAGCATAAACAGATGTAGTAGAAGAGTTTGCAGCAATCGTTGAGTAGTATTGCTTCTGTTGTTGGTGTGATAAGCCAAGATATGTATGGTGACTTGTAGGTTTGAGGAGGAGATTTCTAAGTTTGCTCTTGAGTTTGATAGCAAACTGAGTGCAACGAATGTCAGTATGACACTCAGCCTCAACAGCGTCACGCTTCTCAGCAGCCACACGTTCGGCCTCCTCTGCCGCATCAAGCTCGTCGAGGGTTTTCAAACCTCGCCGGAGCATATCTTTACCTCGGGTTCGGATGAGGCGTTTCTGCTTCCGCAGACGAAGTAACTTCGAAAGGGTTTCTTCCTCTTCGCGATCCAGGCGATCCTCCTCCCGTTCGAGCTTCACCCAGTCGGGATGCTCAGGACCCATACAGTCACACTTTTCTTTCAAGTTGCGACGAACGCACTCGGCGCACCGCCGTGAATCATTTGGAGACGACACGCAAGTAATGTTTCGCCTCACGCAGTTCGAGCAAGAATCCATTTCGGGTAGTTCGTATCCGTGGTTCTTTATTCGACGGACAAGATCGTTGCGTTCCTGGAGTTTGCGGGCAGTGTCAGTAGGCATGTTGCATGTTGAAGGACTCACTGAGGAGCAGCAGAGTCCCGGGGACATGGACGTACTTATAGGATTCGAGACGAATGCCCAGGGGAAGGGAGCGAGTGTTACGACGGAACAAGAAGGCTGGCCAACTACAGGACAGGAAGGAGGGAGGTCGCATGAGACCGGCCCTGGTACCTGGAGGGGCAGCGGGGAATAGTAGTTCCGAAAGTATCACGTGACGGACTCGCAGGATGATGAGAAGAGTGTAACGCTGACTTCTAAACGATAGAAGACACAGAGGTTCTCTTGCGTAAGGGTTTACTTATCAGAGGAGGCAGGGGATCAGACACAAAGGCTTCAAGTAACACGTTACTAGTATATAACAAATACTGTATTGAGTTGAGCACGAAGCTCCTATCTAAGGAAATACTATCTACTTATATAGTGGCGTCGTGCCTAGTGGACTCTTGGGAACTCACTCGAGTCCTCGGAGTCCTGGACTCTTAGGACTCTTCTCATCATCCTGCGAGTCCATCACGTGCCTAGTGGACTCCTGGGAACTCACTCGAGTCCTCGGAGTCCTGGACTCTTAGGACTCTTCTCATCATCCTGCGAGTCCGTCACGTGATACTTTCGGAACTACTATTCCCCGCTGCCCCTCCAGGTACCAGGGCCGGTCTCATGCGACCTCCCTCCTTCCTGTCCTGTAGTTGGCCAGCCTTCTTGTTCCGTCGTAACAAAGAGTCCTAAGAGTCCAGGACTCCGAGGACTCAAGTGAGTTCCCAGGAGTCCACTAGGCACGTGACGGACTCGCAGGATGATGAGAAGAATCCTAAGAGTCCAGGACTCCGAGGACTCGAGTGAGTTCCCAGGAGTCCACTAGGCATGACGCCACTATATAAGTAGATAGTATTTCCTTAGATAGGAGCTTCGTGCTCAACTCAATACAGTATTTGTTATATACTAGTAACGTGTTACTTGAAGCCTTTGTGTCTGATCCCCTGCCTCCTCTGATAAGTAAACCTTTATGCAAGAGAACCTCTGTGCCTTCTATCATTTAGAAGTCAGCGTTACACTAGGATGCTATTGCAGAATAGAGACTCTGACATATACCACCCTAACAAATAGATCTATAAGGCTTGACGAAACAGCCTGTTGCAAATATTACAACAACTAGAACAAGAGGGATATACGAAGTATCACAGCTTGCAGAAATCTAGACTGCAAATGAGTACAAATTCAAGGAACCAATTCTAGAAGAGAAAGGGGAAACATGAGCATTAGAAGCACACTACCACCTATGCCTTAAAACGAAACGAAGAAAAGAAGTAACACTAGTTTTACAACCATTAGAATATGGCGAATATGAAGGATACTCCTCTGATGATTTTAAAAACTAGGAGTCCATGACAGTAGGCCACTAGTGACTGACAAGGACAGGCCTAGTATGAACCAGCTATATGCCATAACAGGCAGCATGCAGCTATATGTGGTTGCTAAGATATAACAGCAACACCTCCAAGCTATAATAGACTTAGGAGTAACAGGCAACTTTATGACAAAGAAAGTAGCAGACACATACGGTTTTAGAATGCAACTAAAGACCGACCTATACCCATTAATGGTTGTAGATGGAAAGCCCATCTCAACTAACAACAGAATGGTGACCTACAAGACGGTCCTATTAGAAATGGTCATGCTACACAGACACAAGGAAACGATACAGTTTGATATCATACACATGGACAATCATGCATGCATCCTTAGTGTGCCGTGGCTTAAGAAACACAACCCCTAGATCGACTAGTAGAAAGAGAAAGTTGTGATGAGCTAGTGCACATATCAACGAACGGACATGACGTAAGAAGGGGAGAGAAACTCCTAGGGCTGACGCGAGGCATATGCAACCTCTATAGAGCTTGGTGACCTAGCCTAGGCACCCTTACTAACGAGTATACTAGTGGAGTATAAGGAATACAAGCAGTTATTCTAGGAAGGCCCTAAGGAAGAGGCGCTTCCTAAGCACCAACCATAGGATCATGAGATACCTATCATGGAAGGAAAGAGTCCACTGTTCGGACCAATATATCAGATGTCAGCAGCAGAGCTGGATGTACTGAAGGAATACATTGACGAGAACCTCGCGAAACGGTTCATTCGACCATCGACATCACCAGCAGGAAGTCCAATACTATTTGTGCCAAAGAAGGACAAGAAGCTAAGACTCTGCGTGGACTATCGAGGAACGAATAATGTCACTATCAAAGATAGATATGCTTTACCTTTGATAAACGAACTACACGACCGGTTCCAGGGAGCCAAGATATTTACCAAGCTGGACCTCAGAGGCGCCTATAACCTGATTCGAATCAAGAAAGGGGATGAGTGGAAAACAGCATTCCGCACCCGCTATGGCTTGTTCGAAAACTTGGTTATGCCCTTTGGTCTAACAAATGCACCAGCATCCATGCAGAGGCTCATGAATGCAGCTCTCCATGAATACTTGGATGTATTTGTTATCGTCTACCTAGACGATATCTTAGTCTACTCAGGAGACCCAACGGAACACATTGGTCATGTTCAGAAGGTATTACAGAAGTTAAAGGAGCATCGGTTACTCCTCAAGCCAGAAAAATGGTCAAATGAACCTCGCGAAAAGGTTCATTTGACCATCGACATCACTAGTAGGAAGTCTAATACTATTTGTGCTAAAGAAGGACAAGAAGCTAAGACTCTGCATAGACTAATGTTAGAGGTGGTGTAATGGTCATGGTGGTGTAATGGTCACCAAAACCCCACCTCGTAACTTCAAACTTGTAAAAAAACAACAATGGCGAGATGAACAAGCCTTTGGGTTTAGGAAACTAAGGCGCATATGGCTGAAGCTATAGAGGCATACAACAATTGACAATTTACAACCTTAAAGGCTGTAGCAGAACACTTTGAAGTCAGCTGCTTAACATTGACGCGTTAGGTGTTAGGACATCTTTCTTAAGTGCAAGCGTGACATATCAAAACGACGACCAAGTACGAAGTTGGACTTTAAGAAATTGGGACCATTTAAAATATTAAACAAAGTCAGCTTAGTTAATTACAGAAGATATACACCTGGTTTTTCACGTCTTACTACTAGAACTAGCAAGAGGAAACACCCTAATTACAACTAACACAGAACTCTAACTAGAGAATAAGATCGTTAAATACAAAGTCAAAGCGATCCTAGACAGAAGGTTAGTAGGACACAAAGAAGAGTTTTTGATCAAATAGAAAGGTTATGAACCTATGGACAATTTATGGGAAATGGTAGGAAACCTTAGCTGTCTAGAGCTACAAGAGGCGTTTCACCGTCAACACCCTAATGTTTAAAGAAGATAGGAGACAGGACTCCAAAGAGGTCCTAGTTAGGGGCGACGCCCTTAGGGACAGTAGTAGGAGGGCTGTGTAAGAGAGTCCCTTTGGCCTCTGCCTCCCTATGCTCCTTTTCCTCTGCTTCATTTAGCTTATCCATGGTCTTTAGACCATGACGGAGCATGTCCTTAGCACAGGAACAGAATAGACGTTGCTGCTTGAATCTTAGCCATCGCCTCCTCCTTCTCCTCTTATAGGTGACGCTCCTTACGTTCGAGTTTGTCCTAGTCGCTAGTAGAAGGACCACTAGCATCACACTAAGAGTTAACTCGAACACACTTACTACATCGTTTTGAGTCATTAGATACGACACATTTCATATGTTTCTTTTCTCAACAGCTGCAAGATAGCATCTCAAAGCTAGTGGCTAATATCCTTTAGGAAAGAGCAAGACGTTCTTTGATTTTAGTATGTTTAGAAGAAGACATGTTAGCAGTGCAACCTGCTTAGCAATTAAGTGGGCATCACCCTACTTAAGTATTAGCAATTTCTTTAATTAGCTGACCTATAGGACTAGGCCTTAGATAGGAGCTTCGTGCTCAACTTAATATAGTATTCTTTACAATACTATAACATGTTACTTAAAAAGCCTTTGTGTTTAATCCCCTGCCTCCTCTGTCAAGTCAACCTTACATAAGAAACCTGTCTTCTATTGTTTAGAAGTTAGCGTTACACCTAGATAGAGACTGTAGCAAACCGGAACAGAAAAGCTTCACTAAGATATCAAATTAGAGACAGAGTATGACTATTAACTCGAAATATTAAAACCTAGAGGCTATCTAGAAAGCTTGATCATAAGCAAGTTGGTCCATTTAAGATTCTAGAACGAATTAGACAAGTGGCATATTAGCTAGAACTACTAGCAAGTATGAAGATACATCCTGTTTTTCATAGCAACTTGTTAAGACTTGATTTGAATGATGTACTACAAGGCTAACACTATGAACCATCACCTCTAATTATCATAGAGGATGAACTTAAATGGGAAGTTGAAAAAATCCTTGATTCTAAACTCCTATAGGAGAAGTTGTTCTATATGGTAGCATAGAACCACCTACTAGACAACACTTGGTACCCTGCTGCAAATTTCAATAATGCACCTAAACTCACACAAGCTTTCTACCGAAAATACCCACAGAAGCCAGAATGACTTAATCAGGAGATCAATCTCAATTAGGGGGGAGGTAGTGTTACGATCGCAGATCATAGCAGCTAGCAACTATGGGAACAGGCAGCTATAGTAGCCACTAAGGTTACAAGGGATCGCTAAGCGCATAGCTAGGAATAGCCTTACCTTCTTCCTTCCTTTCTTCTTCTTCTCTCTTTAGATTCAACCTAGCTTACTTTCCTAGACTGGCATCATGACCACCTCCTTCTCTAGCATAGTTAATTTCGTCATTACAGGCTGGCGTTCGTAGATAGTAGTTCGGCTGTTCATTCTGTTATAGAGTGTAGAATGAGGTACTTCATAGAGCTTAGCAGCCTTCTAACGACTTGGATTTTCTGATGTTTAGAAGCGAGTGTAGCTCACGGTTGGCCGGAACATACACCAACTCAATATTAAATCCAAACTTAGAACCCAAATAATATTGGCATAAATTTCATGTCCTCTCTCAATCTCCATCTATCTAAAGGTATTTGTACCTCCACCATTCATTCCCATGCAGAATGCCCCCCTTCCCCACCTCCCCTCCCCAATCTTTCATCTCTCCCTCACACCCCCAGCCTCCCACGCAACAACCCCATTCGGCCCCCCATTCGGCCCCCCATTCGGCCCCCCATTCGGCCCCCCATTCGGCTCCGCCACCCACCCCCCCACTTCCACAAGCCTCACACAAGCCTCCTCCTCCTTATTAAACACAAACGCATGCACCTTCAGCCCGCGATCCGCAATCGCCTTCGCCACCGTCGGCTGCGACCGCAACCACTCCACCTCAGCCTGCACGTACACCTCCGCAAGATGGCGATCGCGCTGTATCGTCTCCAGGTCGGGGAGGAGGGCGTCGTTGACGGCGCGGAGGCGGGAGAGGTCTCTGGGGTTGGGGTTAGCGAGTGGACTGGTAGATAGAAGGGAGAAGGGGGGGGGGGACTTACTCGTACCACCCGTGTATCGCTGTTGGGGCCTCGCTGGCTTCTTTGAATAGTACACAGTCGTAGTGTCCGCAGACGACAATATGCTTCACCTACACGCCCACACATATTAGCCTCCATCACCCCCCCCTCTTAACCCCCCTCTTAACCCCCCTCTTAACCCCCCTCTTACCCCCCTCTTACCCCCCTCTTACCCCCCCTCTTACTCCCCCTCTTACCCCCCCCCACCCCAACCTCCCCACTCCAGGTATCCACCAACTCACCTCCAACAAATCAACACAATACGCAATCGCGCTCGCCGAGCTCAAATCCCCATTACTCATCACACTCCCCAGATTCCGATGCACAAACGTCTCCTGCGGCAGCACATCCAGCGCCGCCGTCTCGGTGATCCAGCTGTCCGAGCACCCGACCCAGAGGATCTGCGCTTTGCTCTCGCCCGTACTGGGGATCAGGTCCTTCGGGACGGGGAGGATGGAGTAGCGGCGCTGCGCAGCGCGGTGGACGTCGGGGAACATCTTTCTTGGGCTGGGTTGTTGGGTGAGGTGAGGTGTCGTGTGAGGTGTCGTGTGAGGTGTGAGGTGTGAGGTGTGCGGGGTACCAGTGTGTTCGTGAGTGGTGTGTCGTGGCGGGGTAGACAGATGAGGAAGCGCGTGGTTTGGTTTGTCTCAGTGGTTTGTCTCAGTGGTTTGTCTCAGTGGCTTGTCTCAGTGGTTTGTCTCGCAGGATAAGCGCGGCACAGAGATGTATTGTACCAAGACTTTTTCAGGGCGGAGAGCAGCCTTGTATACCCTTGTATACCAGGAATTGAAAATCACAAAGAAGTAAGAGTACAGTAACGAGAAGAGGAGGGAGAGTGACGAGAGGAGGAGGAGGAGGAGGAGGAGGAGACGAAAAATCGAGATATGCCGCCACCTTCCCTACCTGATTATATTGGTGGTGCTTGGGCGTCCAGACCAGCGCTGGGCTGGTGCAGGTAACGACCAAAAATCAGGCCACTTTCTCGGGAGTCGGGGCAAGATCGGAGGTGTTCGGGCCGCTGTGGGGATACCTTGGTGGAAAATGGAGAGTTTGGGCGGTGTGAAGTGAGAAATGGGAGAGAGATGGAAGAGAGATGGAACAGAGAGATATGGGAATAGACTTGAGCACTTGGGTGATATGGAGATGAGATGAGAGGGGAGGTGTTGACGGTAAGAAGGTAGAGGAGAGGGGTGCTGATCTACGTTATGCTAGCTCCAAAGATGGCACGTGACAGAAAAGGAGCTGGAGCATCGTCTTACAAAGGTCATGATCGTTGTCATTGTTATCACTTTGCAATATAAGGGTATCAGCTCACTTGCCATAGTCACCTGACAGTAAGGCAACGTTTAGTTGATTAAGGTGCCAGCTGAACTGGTACGCCAGGAGAAAAACCCGCTCCTTGTAGCTCTTCTAGCTGGGATATGATATGATGCTTCTGATCTGGAAGCCGAAGCTGGTGATGCCTTGGCTGAGGCACAGAGTCTTGAATGAAGCAGCAAGGCCACTTACGATGAATGCTTTGAATCTGAAGAAGCTTTATAGTTGTCTGTATTCACGCCCATCCAGGTGGTTACGTCTTGTCCAATGTGACCTCTCGGCTGCAAAAAGAAATGATGGAGTTTTTCCAACTATTGCGTTCTTATACCGTTGATTGATCCATGCTATCCCGGCACTTGCATGCATTGCAGTCTAATCAGCTTCATCGCAGGACTTGACCTGCAGAGGACAGCCCAGAACCAGAATCTACAGTGAAAACAATGATATAAGCACCTGCCGTTGGCCATAATCGACGACGGCGTCCGCACTACCACGTCCAACCGCGGAATGTTCTGTTGTTAGACTTCAAACTGTGAATTGAACGTGGTGATGGCTTCGAATTCGAAATGCAGCTCGGACATATATAGTAGACTTGTCGTAGATTACTTATCGTTATCGCCGTGTGCCGCCGATTGGATAGCGTGTATATATTCCTTTTTCCCCCTTTCCTTCCCCTTTTCTTCCTCTTATTTCCATCTTAAGCAACAACAAACCACCTTTGCCTTTGCAAAGCTTTGCTTTGTGGCAATCATAGAATCACCACAATGGACTCCAAGCAGTTCAAGGAGGCCGCAACATCTGCGATTGATGAGAGTGAGTAGTATCACTGCCCATGACAGGAGTTTGTCTGCTGATCTGGAGCAGTTGTGAGCTACTATGACACCCTACCAGACCGCAAGGTTTTGTCCCGTGTCGAGCCCGGATACCTCAGGAAGATTCTCCCATCCGGTCCTCCAGAGAAAGGAGAGTCATGGCAAGATATCCAGAAAGATATTGAGGAGAAGATTGTGCCTGGATTGACTCACTGGTACCCCTTCCCATTTCCTTGTGCTCTTGCCCTTCGATTCCGTGGCTTCCGCTTAGTTCTAACACCCACAGGCAACATCCAAACTTCATGGCCTTCTTCCCTGCCAGCAGCTCCTTCCCAGGCATGCTTGGTGAGCTCTACTCAGCTGCATTCACCGCCCCAGCCTTCAATTGGATTTGCTCCCCAGCCGTCACTGAGCTTGAGACAGTCGTCCTGGACTGGCTTGCCAAGCTCCTCAACCTCCCAGACTGCTACCTCTCCACCGGGGAGGGTGGTGGTGTCATCCAGGGCTCCGCCTCAGAGGCAATTGTAACTTGCATGGTGGCTGCCCGTGACAAGTATCTTCGTGAGACCACATCCCACCTCAGCGGCGAGGAGCAAGAAGATGCCATTGCCCACAAGCGCAGCAAGCTTGTTGCCCTCGGCAGCGACCAAGCCCACAGCAGCACCCAGAAGGCAGCCCTCATCTCCGGAGTCCGCTACCGCTCGGTCCCCACGACCCTCGAGAACAACTTCGCCCTGACCGGCGACGCCCTGCTCAAGACAATCAACGAGCTCAAGGCTAAGGGCCTTGAGCCCTTCTACCTCACCTGCAACCTTGGAACAACCTCCACCTGCGCCGTCGACGACTTTCGTTCCATCACCAAAGTCCTCAAGACCGCTGCCCCACCCGGCCCCGGCGAGATCTGGGTGCACGTCGACGCCGCCTATGCCGGCTCGGCTCTCGTCTGCCCGGAGTACCACCACCTGACCTCGCACTTCGGAGAGTTCCACTCCTTTGACATGAACATGCACAAGTGGCTTCTAACCAACTTCGATGCGTCTTGCCTGTTCATCCGCAAGCGCAAGGACCTCATCGACGCCCTCAGCGTGACCCCCAGTTACCTTCGCAATGAGCACTCCGAGAGCGGCCTGGTCACCGATTACCGCGATTGGCAGATCCCTCTTGGACGCCGCTTCCGCAGCCTGAAGATCTGGTTCGTCATGCGCACATATGGTGTTGGGGGTATGCAGGCGCACATCCGTCGCCACATCAAGCTGGGCGATCTCTTCCATGGTCTGGTTAAGAAGAGAGCCGATTTGTTCGAGGTGATTGGCAAGCCTAGCTTTGCATTGACGACGTTTGCTCTCACGCCCAAGGATGGGGAGGATCGCGAGGAGGTGAATCGCGTGTCGAAGCAGGTCTATGAGGCTGTTAACAATGGCGGTGTTATTTATATCACCAGCAGTGTGGTGGGTGGTATTTACATTCTTCGTGTGGTCAGTGCGAATGAGCTGGCTGAGGAGAAGTATGTTCTTAACGCCTTTGATATTATCGTGCGAACCACCGAGGAGGTTCGTGGCCTCAAGATCACTGGATCGAGTGGGGTTAACGGCGTGAAAGCCGTCAATGGGGTCAATGGGGTTAACGGCGTGAAAGCCGTCAATGGGGTCAATGGGGTCAATGGGGTCAATGGGGTCAATGGGGTCAATGGGGTCAATGGGGTCAATGGGGTCAATGGGGTCAATGGGGTCAATGGGGTCAATGGGGTCAATGGGGTCAATGGGGTGAATGGGGTGAATGGGGTCAATGGGTTGAAAGCCGTCAATGGGGTGAATGGGGTCAATGGGGTGAATGGAAAGGTCCAGATGCTAAGGGGCTCGGAGAGGTGACGGATGTCAATGGTCTTGCGAAATAAGAGCATTAAGCGTTTCCAGGATAAGATAGAACGAATTTGACGACGACAGGAAAGAAACTGTACACTACTAGACCGCAAGACACAAGTTCCAGGCCTGGCAATACGTTATTAGGAAGATAGATAGGCTAGCCAAAAATATCAAGCTGGTACGTACATCGTAACATTATTTCCGTCTCCATACTGCAAAATAACGTGTATAACCACCTGGGTATAATCGTCTTGACTTCCCCCGTCCAAACGCCCGCTCAACCCCGTTTACTCGAGGCAAGCCACCAGCCGTCCTACCCGCTATCGTACAGTCTATAGCTGCGATCGTATCGTTTCTCGTCCTCGTTCTGCCAACATATAATAATTCCATGATCGCGTATAGTCCCCTTCCTTACCGACCAAAAACCAAAGCTACCCATCCCTCCTGTTCAAACTGGCGGCGACTCGTTGACCAGTCCTGGCACACGATCCACAACCATCCCAATGTACGGACCGATGACGGGGATATTGCGCATGAAGCCGAGGATGGTGCCGATGAAGTCGCCAAAGAGGATGAAGATGCCGTACAGCTCGACCAGGAACCCGATCAGCGGCCAACGCAGTAAGATGAGCAGGATGCCAGCCGCGAAGGCCGCAGTGCCCTTCAGCTTCTGGCGGCGCGCGAAGAAGAGGAGTGTCTTGGCTGGGCCGATGATGGCGGTCAGACCGATGAGGAAGAGGATGTTGCCCATGGCGAGCATGGCACGGTCGAAGAAGAGGAAGACGCCGAAGATGAGGAAGAAGGCGCCTGTGGTGTTGTGTTAGGGGTTTGTTCGGACGGGGAAGGAGCGGCGGGACGAGCTTACCACCGGAGCAGAAGGCGACACCGACCTCTGTGTGAATGTCAGCATGGAATCCCCATTGCGAATTCAGTTCATGAGCGGAATATGGCGACAGGCGCACAGTGGGAAAAGGGGCTGGACGACGGGGGATGGGGAGTTGGGAGCGCGACGTACTCTGCGAATCTGATAACCACATGGTAGGCATATTGGCGGTGTTTTCGCAAGGCCCTTCTGCACAGTATATGGCAACAGAAGTATAAATTAGGGCTTCAAGACGACACAGAGAAGACAAGTGTGAAGGAGATGAGGTTCCTTGTTTTCTTCTCGAGGGCGCAGCGAGATTATGGCGGCGACAAACTGTCAGATCTCAGATCTCAGATCTCAGTGTGGCTGTTGATAATGGGGGACGTGCACCGGATTGAGCTGAAGTGGGGTCCGGGGCTTGTATAGGCGATGATCCATTTCAACACAGAAATTTCTTCAAAACGCTTTGAAGATCAACAACAGAGAGCGGAACACCACGACGCAACACGACGGTGACGAGTCCACAATGTATGTGGCGGCCTCGATGATTGTCTTCTCTTCCCTTATGGGGAGTTTGTGTGTGCAGTAGGTGCCTGGACAAACAGCACGGGAGGGATGGATATCTGTCCTGATGTGCGGTGTCTTGGAGTCTTGGAGCTCCAAACATATCACGAATCCATCATGCCGGACGACCTAGCTTTCATAGCTATGGTAACTGAGAGTTTATTCCCTATATGCTCTCGGTACCCCGTCAAGGCAAAGAACACCCCGGGTACTCGCACTCTACGGAGTTGTACCCTCGATCGCTATTAAGCCGGAGCACTTCCGAGGATGCGGCTGTTGAAAGACAGTCGCCGTATGGAAGGAGCTTGACTGTGATGGTCTCACAATGAAACAACATGCCGTCTTGTCTGTCTAGCTTCATATATTCACATGGAAGTATAGACCTTAGATTGAAGCATACATACCCCCTTATTTAGCTGTGCCATGGTTTTTGAATCCGAGGCCCTGTATCAACCAGCTCCATTCCTGCCTTAACTCCGTGCTTGAGTGACTCCGTGCCTCGAATGGCCAATAGACCAAATGCCGAATGTGCTCCCATAACCCTGACACGACATATATCCCCCCTCACTTGAGAATCGTGTGCGCCCCCCTAGCCTCAAGGTACTGCTCTGCAACTCCCTGCCCCAGCGTCCTCAGCACAGCAAACACCTCCTTATTATGATACCTCAGCCTAGTCTTCGGATCCGTATACGGCGCCACCAACCCCGTAATATCGCAGTAGTGCTTCGGGTGCGCCAGCGTCGGCGCCGACTCAATATTCATATACGTTGCTCCCGGCCCAGCCCCTCCTCCCCCAACCGTCGTAGCCTTCGCGTTCATATTCCGCTCCAGCACCAGCTTACTCAGGTTCCTGCTCGCCTGCGCCAGGTTCGGGGGCTGCCGTCTGTCGGGCGCGCTCGAGGCGGGCGTCGAGTCTCCCGCGGTGGATGTGCCGCCGGACTCGTCGCCGCCGGGGGTCGCGGCGCCGCTGTTGTCTTGGGTGGGCATGAGGGAGGAGGCTTCTTTGCGAGAGGAGTCGCCGAGGATGGTCTTCATGTTCTTGTTGCGGCGCTGGTTAGGTTTCCAGGAGGGGTTGCGGAAGGATCGGGGGACGTGGTTGATGTCGAGCTTCTCGATGAGGGCTTGGTGAGCTGCTTGGGCGGCGGCGATTTCTTCGGCCGCGGGGTTGATTGGGGGCGGCATTTTGGAGGGTGGGTTTGCTGTGTCGATAGTAGTTGTGTGTGTTGAATATGTGAGGTTTCAATGGAATGCCCTTTGTGCCGTTTGCGATCGAGGTTAGCTTGTTGGTGATGCGAGCGAGGGAACTGGATATATGTATACTGCCAGCTGTCACCGCCATTTGGGCCGATTCGCGTCAACAACACGGCGTTTGGATAACCAAGATCGCTTTTGGATTCCTGCAGCTTCATTAAGACAGACAAAATGGTAAGTTTGGGAGAATATTGACGTCTGCACATTTGCTGATTGGAGCGATTTTAGGAGAGTCCTCATGAGCACCAGCAGAACCTTCTGCTGTCCCGAATCATCACCAACGTAGTAAGTTGGGCAACTCCAGCACATGCTACGAAGCTAACAATCGCACAGGAAAAGCTCAATGAAGCTATTGTACTTCTCAACAAGGGCCTGCAGGTAGTTTTCTCATGCAATATGCAATATGGAAGAGGCTAAGCTAATACCGTCCCAGGAAATCAACATCCAAAACATGAACGTGGAGCTCGTTGCACAGATGTTCAAGAACTACCAGTCGAATGTGCTCTTCCACCTTGAAGGTAGGGCTTTCATACAATGCATCTGAGAACTGTAACTGATCTTTTATCTAGCAACGGACAGTCTGGAGGAGCCATCATAGAGGGGAGGCAGGCGGGGTTGATGTTGTGAGGGGGAGGGAGTGATGAATTGGATGAGGCGCTGGGAGTCTTTGTTGTTTGGTTTTATACCTTCTTATTAAGAAAGAAATGGCAGTTATCATACAAATACATATAGACCTTATTATATACACAGAAAGTTGAACTATATGCCCGCCATCGTGGTATCACAGCCTCGTGCCCGCCGTCGTCGCCCCATGAAAACTCTCAGCCTCACCCATTCCTATCGAACCCCAAATTCCACACGCAACGTGCGGCCCTCAACAACGTCGCATTCACGTCCAGCGGCGCCGCTCATAATCCTAGGCCTAGATTGAATAAACGTAGCAGCCGCGACTACCAAATATATTTAACCCCAAGCATAAACGACAGCCGTCAATGGCTTGAACCACAAATACCATCCACAGTCACCGACATCACCACGACAATGGCGCCCTCAGCGATATCTCCCCATGCCCCAGAGGTATCGACGGGACGACCAGAAGCTGGACCTGCAAAGATATATCCCGTCAAGGAAGCATATTTTGAAGGCTACCAGGCGCCACAGCCTGACGGATACAAGAAAGCACAGCAGATTGGCAGCGACAACGTCGCGATCGTTATTGACAATGGTAAGGTCACATCAGAAGCCTACAACCCTCACACCATGTCTCCCTACTGACAACACACGTCCAGGCTCATCAGCAGTCCGCGCAGGATGGTCATTCGAGGATAACCCCAGATTCTCAATCCCACCCGTGATGGCAAAGTATCGAGACCGCAAGCTAGGCAAGACTTTCGCCTTCGCCGGCTCCGACGTCTACGCCGACACCACCGCACGCGGGCACATGCGTAACGCCTTCGAAGCCGGCAGCGGCGTCATCTGCAACTGGGACGTGATGGAGTACGTCCTCGACTACCTCTTCCTCAAGCTCGGCATCGACGGCCAAAACGGCGCAATCGACATGCCCATCGTCATGACCGAGACCCTCGCCAACCTGCCGTACTCGCGCAAATCCATGAACGAGATCCTCTTCGAGTGCTACGGCGCCCCCTCCGTCGCCTACGGCGTCGACGCCCTCTTCTCGTACGCTCACAACGGCGGAAAGACGGGACTCGTCGTCTCCTCCTCCCACAGCTCCACGCACCTGATCCCTGTGGTCGACTCGCGCGCTCTGCCCGCCCAGGCCACGCGTCTGAACTGGGGCGGGTCTCAGAGCGCAGAGTACCTCCTCAAGCTGATCCGGCTGAAGTACCCGGGGTTCACGGGGAGGCTAAACGCTTCGCAGGCTGAGCACATGGTCCGTGACCACTGCTTCGTCGCGCAGGACTATGTGAAGGAAGTCGGCGAGGTGCTCGATTGGACGGGCCTCGAGGACCGCGACGTTGTCATCCAGTACCCCTACACCGAAGAGATCATCATCCAGAAATCCCAAGAGGAGCTCGCGCGCGCCGCCGAAAAGCGGAAAGAATCCGGCCGCCGCCTGCAGGAGCAGGCCGCCAAAATGCGTCTCGAGAAACTGGTCCGTAAAGAGCAGGAACTCGACTACTACCGGTCCCTCCAGACGCGCCTGGCGACCGAGAACAAGAAGGAGAGTAAACGCCTCCTCGACGCCGAGGACCTGAAGGACGAAAATGCTCTCGCGAAAACAATCAAGGAGCTCGACCTCTCGATCCGCAAGTCGCGCCAAAAAGACGTCGGTGGCCCAGAGATAGAAGATGACGCCGAACCCCCGAATTACGACCTCCTCGATATCCCCGACGAGGACCTCGACGACGCAGGCATAAAACAGAAACGCCACCTGCGCCTCATGAAATCCAACCACGAAGCCCGCGCCCGCGCCAAGGCTGAAAAAGCCGTTGAAGCCGCTCGCGTAGCTGAGATCGCGCGGCTCGACCACGAGCGCCGCGAGGGTGATTTGGAGGGGTGGTTAGAGGAGCGGCGCGCCGCACGCGCTGCGCTCGTCAAGAAACTCAAGGAGCGCGAACGCCTCAAGGCTGATCTAGGGAACCGTAAATCCCTCGCTAGTCAAATCCGGATGAAATCCATCGCCGCCCTCGCCTCCGACACCCCCGCCAAAAAGCGCCGCAGAGGCGGCGACGACGATACGTTCGGCGCCGACGACGACGATTGGGGAATCTACCGCCAAGTCGCCAATGAGGGGGATAACTCCGAGGACGAGGAAGAGGACCTAGGCTCTAGTCTCAAGGCCCTCGAGGCGGAGTTGCTCGAACACGATCCCGATTTCACAGAACTGCACACACACGATGCGCAGAGCGACTGGTCGACTTCCCTCATCCACGCATTTCTCCGCGGGCCTCGCGCCTTTGACGCCGGTTCGGCGAAGGAAGCGCACCAGCTCCACCTCAACGTCGAGAGGCTCCGCGTCCCGGAGGTAGTATTCCAGCCCTCGATCGCGGGGCTGGACCAAGCGGGGATTGTGGAGATCGCGGCGGATATCCTGATGCAGCGGCTTGGTGGGCAGGTGGATATGAGGGATGTATTCCTGACGGGGGGCGCAACGCTGTTTCAGGGGTTTGAGGAGAGGTTGGCGAGGGAACTGAGGGGGGTACTGCCGGTGGAGAGGCAGGTGCGGGTGAGGAGGGCGGGGGATGCGGTGGGGGATGCGTGGAGGGGGGCTGGGGGGTGGGTTAGGAAGGAGGGGGGCGCGGAGTGGAAGAGGGGGAGGGTTACGAGGGGGGAGTGGTTGGAGAAGGGGGGGGATTATATTAAGGTTTGTCTTTTTTCACTTTTTTTTTTTGGTCCAGTTTCTCGGATTGGACGTGTTTGGAAGGGTGTTGGCTAACTATTGGTGATAGGAACACAATTTGGGGAATGCGTACTCGTACTCGGCTGTTTGAGGAAAAGGGGCGGGTGAAAAAGGGGGGACGGGACGGTTTGATTATTTAGCGTTTTGATCGAAGGTGAGGGCGCGTTACGGGAATTGATGGAACGGGAACAAAAAAAAATAGATGAGGCATAGTTAGCTGCTATGCTATGACTTCTTTGGCTACTTATCTCCTGGTACGTCTTCGCTGATTTGACTTTCCAAAACATGGTATCTATTCGCTGAAAGTTTGGTTATCTTCATTGTTTAAAAGTGATGGACACTCCTCTCCCCTTCCCTCATACGCTCGGCCACGGCACTCACAGGAGAAGAAATTGTGATTAGGGGTTCCGCCCCGTCTGACGGCTCCATGTTTCACAACTTCAGTATGCCATGGTGGTCTTGAGACCCCATCATCTCTGGCGAGTAGGTGGCGGCAGTGGGGGTCACGACGACGACAGAACAGCGTGACAAGAGCGAGGTTCTCGACAAAAAAACCTCAGCGGTGAGAGGAAGACGGCGGGGGGTCTCGCACGACCTTCTGGACGTGTTAGTCTCGGGGGCAGTGTAAGTTAAGCGCTCGCGCTCATTCGCTCCTATTGAAAGTCTGCGCTACGCACCGCAGGGCATTTGGTAGGGTCCGGTATGTATTGGCGATTGCTACTGTGATATTCTTACTTGGCTGAGGGGTGCATGTTCTCCTGGCTCTTCGGAAGGATGGGGGTGATTATGAAAGATTTCACTAGACTCGCAGTAAAGCGAGAGTCTAATTTTCCTTTCTCACTATCATTATCTCCAGCAGGCTTCGAAGGCAAGTTTAGAACTCAAGCCTCGTCTAACCCTCCCTATCTCATACGCTCACCCACCGCTCTCACACGAGAATAAATAGCAACCGCACATCCCGTACGTTGCTCCCTCCAACAAGCCAGTTGATGTAGGCATAAAAAATATTAACCAAGAGATAAACAAGTACCCTGCTCGCATATCCCGTGAGCCAGAGCCTTCAGGGCTACGTTTACTATGGCTGTCTGAGATCCCATTATCTCCGACGAGTAGATGGCAAGACAGAACCGCTTGACGAGATCCCTCCCCTGACGAAAAACATACAGTGACAAGAAGGCCCACCGGGACCAAACAACAAAGTAAAGGTACGCCGCGAATCCTTCCCAGCTCAACCAATAATATTATGGTAGATAAATCGGTTGCTCTAGTCAGGTTGACAAGTCATCGGGCTTTGCTTCCTTTTATGTGTCGTTTTGGACTTCTTCGGGAGGATTGCGGGGGTCTTGGTGGTGTGTTGACTATGATAAGACCTCGCCGAGTCTTATATAAGTAATGTCATTACTGACATCCTGTCCTTGGCCGGACTCCGTTTCCCATTATCCCGTAGCAGGCTTTGAAAGCAGGTATCAGACGGATGGCGACTAGGATACTCGAGTGAAAAGGGGTAGCGTACTTATATCACCATCACCAGCACCATATATATCACAACCAAACAGCACAAGAAATATATCGTGTGAAACTCACTCACGCGCAATGATTCCAGAACATCCAACGCCAAAACCCAACTATAACGCCCCTTCCCCCAACCCGCCCCCAAATGCCCAATGCAGCCATCTAAAAGAATCCTTTCCGCCCAAACCAAACCAAACAAAACTACCCCATCCCATGAACCCCCCATCGCAACAGCCTACCTCCCATCCCCTCGCCTCCAAACGCAAAACGCAAAAACCTAACAACACTTCCTCCCCCTCCCCTTCCCCTTCCCCGCCGCTGGCATCGGTCCCCCACCGTCCTCAATGACATCCTCCATCCCAATCCCCGTCGGAAACCCCAACCAACTCCTCCTATCCCTGCCCACCCTAAAACTCCCCCTCCCCGCCTCCCCTCCAGAATACTCCCCTCCGTCCTCCGCCCCAGCAGCCCCCTCTCCTTCCTCCTCCCGTTTCCTGGCTTGTTCCACCAATTTCCGTGTAACGACTCGAAAGACTTCACCCACACCTTCGCCGCTCTCGGCGGAGATCTCGTGACAGCAGTCCCACCCGACATCCTGTCCCCAGAACCCGCTGCTGCGTTTGCTAGTAGCGCCTGGACTCCTCAGCTCCCCCGCCCCACCACTCGTTGTGCGCGAGCGGCCACCGAAACCGGCGCCGTCTGCTGTGGCGGTCGGGGGGGGCGTCGAGCTAAGCGCCGGGTACAAGTTCTCTGCTACGTAGGCGATGCAGCGCTCGAAGGGGACTTCTCTCCTCCCCGGCTCCCTCGCCACAATATCTGCCTTAGTCCCAACGATGTGCAGTATCACGTCCTCGCCCAACTCCCGCCGTAGCTCCGCTAGCCACCTCCCCATCTCCTCGAAGCTGGCTGCATCGGTAATAGAATAACAAATAATACACGCATTGGCACCCCTATAATACAACCGTGAAATCGACCTAAACCGCTCCTGCCCAGCGGTATCCCAGAGTTGGAGGCGCACCAGAGTGTTGGAATCGGTGTCGTGGATTCGTTTCGTCAAGAAGGAAGCCCCGATGGTGGAGGGGTGTGGGGGGAGGAAGGTGGAGTAGATGTAGCGGTGCACGAGGGAGGTTTTGCCGACGCCTTGGGCGCCGAGGACGACGATTTTGGCTTCGAGGGTGGTGGGCATTGTTGGGGGTTGTGGGGGGTGACGTGACGTGTGGTGAGGTTTGTGGTGAGGGTGGTGAGGGTTAGGGGCGCATTTCAGCGTGGTGGGGTGGAGGGGGGGGGGGTGGGGGTGAGGTGTAGCCTTGGGAGGGAGATGTTGTTGTTGACTCGGTGGGTGTGTAGTTTGCTTGCTTGCTGTGGTAGTTGTGTATATAAGCTCCTCGTCGAGCAAAGGGTATTGAAGCTCGAGTGTCGAGTGTCGAATATCGAGTCTTGTATGCCTCGTGGCTATAATTTAAATCCCCAAAAGTGTCGGGCGGCTGTCGACGCGTGCACGATAGATAAATAATGTGAGACGCGGGAAGAAGTGATAGATGGCAAAAGGGTCGCGTCGCATCAACAATCTGCCGAGCCGAGAGGGATCGTCACGTGGCTTTTTTAGTGAAGTGGGAATACAGTAAACATACGATAAGTCGATGCCTCGGATCCACAAAAATATATCGACTTGATGCATATATCGAGTAAATGTATTACACGTGATTAAATTAAAAATTGAAGCTATTTACATAAACCATGAGTCTAATGTCCCCTGCCTTTGTGAATTGGCTTCAAGGAGCCTTAACTGTCTCTCAAAACGTTCCAAAGAACATGAGAACGTTGGTGCTTCTGAGGTGTCACTATTCCCAGATTCTGTAAACTCAATCAGAACTTGAATGGCGTTAATCACAGCTTGTGTAGTTGGCACAGGCTGTGAAGGCTCATCCTCTTCCTCATCATCTTGAGTGGTATCTGGGATGTATTGTGACATGATATCCTCAAGAATAGCATCCCCCCCTTGAAAATCCTCCCACCCCTCTAACTCTTGTATATCCTCATCGACTGGATTTAAAAAGCTCGAAAGATCCATAGTGTCATGTACATTCCCAGCTTGTTGTACTTGTTGATAGAGATTGGTAATATCAGCGCAGGTTGACCAACGTCCTGGATACGCAAGGCGAGCTAGGACTACACAAAGAGCAGTCTCCAAGTCTGGCTTTACCCGGTCTCTCTATCTGTATCTTTTTCCGGCTGGCACCATATCTTTTTCCGGCTGGCACCACCTCTCCCTCCACCCGCCCAGTTCCAAAGCACTGACTGAAGTAGAAAAATTCATCAAAGGCCAGTATTTTACAGAGGGAACAAAGGGCTCTAGTCACATCGGGGACTACAAAGGAAACGCCGTAGGGGGTATGGCCGGAATGGGAGAATTACATACAATTTACTAGTAATTTCCCTTGTCATGTCATAGGTGAACTCACGAAAATCATGATCACAACATTTCAAAGCCTCGATTCCAACTCATTTTAGAATTGCCTATTCAGGCCTTACAGTGGACTACAGTACAGTAAGCACTAAACAGGGTTACTTACGTATGCTCTAATACTAATAGATTCTATCTAGGTCAACTTGGCATGGATCAGGCAATGCTAAAACGCTCTGATGACGGATGATTTTAGCCGCCATACTAAAACACCATACAGCGGCGTACATGTCTTGTCAACAAGGATGCTATCACAACCTTCCACACAGAACCCTGGATGGCTTCTCGACCTGCCAAGCAATGGGGCGTTCCTCCCTTCCCTTTCCTCAGCCTCTCTCTTGCCTGCCGGTCTTCCAGGTCCAGCCAACGAAGGAGAGAGGCTAGGCGCATTTCGAAAACACGGCGAGGTCGAAGAGGCAGGGCGCTCGCGCTCCACTCCTCACTCTCTCTCTTCTCTTAGCTACTGCTCTTCATATATATCTCGTCGACTCGTCGTTTGCTCGCTCTTTCTGCGTCTTGCGTCTTTTGCCTCCGATTTTGTCGTCTCTTATCCCCTTCCCTTTCACGCTCCTTGTTCTGCTTCGGTCTTGCGTTTCCCCTCTTTCTCCCCTTTCAATCCCCCGCCATGGCGCGACGCGCTGCCATTGCTGCCGTCCTGGCATCGGCAGTCTCCCTCGTGGCGGCTGCTTCGGGCACAGAGCCATGTGCTACTGTTAGGAACCTCTATCTGCGCGGCAATGCCATCCCAGCAGCGGTTTGTGTCCCTCCCATCCCAAGCCCCCCCAAGCGCCTCCTGCTGACTCTTTCCCCCACAGACCGGATTTGCATGTCTCTCCTCCGTCCCCTTCGACGCGGATGTCGGCCTTGCCACCGTCGAGAACTTCCAGAAGCTCAGCGAGTTCCACTCGACGCTCGGCGACATCAAGAACCCCGGGAAGGGCTACGCAAATGCACCCGTCGATATCATAGGCTTGCTCGATCAGGTGATCGTCGATATCAAGGCGGGAAAGTATAAGAACCAATACCAGTTTGAGGAGCAGATGGCCCTCATCACGGGCCTGTCCTTCGATGGTCACTACACTTTCCTGGGCAACACGTTTTACAGCTCCTTGGATTGGTACCGTGGCGGTGCTACCAATGGCGCTTACGAGGGCTCCTTGATCTCTGTTTCCGCCGATGGAAAGTCATTGCCACAGGTTTACTTTACCACCGACCTCACCAACCCAAATGCGTCTCCTATTGTGTCGATCGATGGACAGACTGTCGTAGACTATCTCACAAAGGAATCAAACCATCAACTCTTCCACGACGCCGATGCCCGCTGGAACGTTCTCTTCGCGCGCCAACAGTCTGATTCCGTTGGCTCCTTCGTCATGCCCTGGTTCTACCCTGGGTCTAACTTCACCGCCACCAGGGCCAATGGCAACACCAAGACCATCCAGTGCTACGCCGCTATCCCAACCGCCCTCAAGGAGAAATGGTCCCAGGTCATTGACGGCAAGAGCTTCTACAGCACCTTCGTTGCCCCCAAGACTGCCTCCTCTTCTTCAACTTCCTCATCATCCAGGTCCCTTAAGAAGAGGTACGTCGAAAAGCGCCTCGTCCCGCCACACTACCCCCAACCCGTCATCCAGCACGCACAGAAGGAGGTCGGGCTGGGCGCCTTCTTCCTCAGCGGCTTCGGCCTCAACGAAGTCGCCGTGCTCAGCATGAACACCTTCGACCCCGTCGCCCCAGGCGACGGGGTCGAGTTCCAAGCCCTGATCCAGAAATTCCTCAAATACGCCAAATCCAAAGGCCGCACCAAGATGGTCATCGACGTCTCCTCCAACGGCGGCGGCTCCCTCTTCCTCGGCTACGACACCTTCAAGCAATTCTTCCCCTCCAAAGAACCCGACATCGGTGCACGCATGCGCTACTCCACGGCCCTCGACATCATCGGCACAGCCTTCGGCACCATCACCCTCTCCGACGCGGCCACCGGCTCCTTCGCCAACACCGGCCTCACCCCCGCCGACATGTACCTCTCCCCCATTCACTACATCAACTCCGTCGACGCCGACCAACTCGCCTTCGCCTCCTGGGCCGCCCTCCGGGGGCCCGTCACCATCAACAGCGCCTCCTACACCCAAATCATGCGCTACAACTTCTCCAGCCCCCACCTCTACCAAGGCGACACCATCGTGTCCGTCTCCGGCTACGGCCCACTCGCTGACACCCCCGCGCAGCCTTATGCCGCGGAAGACATCATCCTCCTCCACGACGGCTACTGCTCCTCCACCTGCGCCGTCTTCAGCGATCTTATGCGCCGCCTCGGCGGCGTCCGCTCTGTCGTCCTAGGAGGCCGCCCGGTATTTGGTCCTATGCAGGCGGTGGGTGGGACGAAGGGCGTTCTCGTCGAGCCGTGGGCTGCTATCGAAGCGTCTGTCGCTGCGACGCTGGCGGATTTTGGGACTGCGGAGCAGAAGAAGAAGTGGGCTGCCTACCTCCCCAAGCAATTCCCCATCGCCATGGCGAACCCCCCCACCGTCAACTTCCGCAGCGGCTACCACCCCGGCAGCGACACGCCGATGCAGTTGCTGAATGAATCCGCGAACTGCAGGGTGTTTTACACACCCGCGATGCTGGCGAATGTGACGAATATCTGGGAGACGGTCGCGCAGCTCGCGTGGGGGATTGGGGGGGGGACCGGGCAATCTTGTGTGCAGGGGAGTTATTCGGATGGGGAACCCATTGGGGAGACGAAGTTGGTGGGGAAGAAGGTTTCGAGTCTTGATGCGGTTGTGGCGGACGGAACGGCGGCCGGGGGGGATACGAATGAGGATTTGGGGTTGGCGGTTGCGGGGAGTGGGAAGGGTGATGGGGCTGTGACGGGGGCGAAGAAAGGTGCTGCAAGCGTGGCGAGGGTGGTTAGCTGGGAGGTTTTGGGGGGTTGGCGCTGGTGAGTGGGTTGGTGTTGTAGATTCAAGGGTGGGATTTGTGTTTAATATGTGTTGAGCGTGGCGTTTTGGGTTGCATTGGGTGGGATTATATTATATCAATTTGTGCTATATGGGACAAGGGGAAATGCTTGTATGTAGCTGGCATTATGGCTGTATTTGGGAGGATATGTCTGGTATGGACTGGGGATAATGGGGGGGATCTAGAGGATATAGAATAATATATCACTTTGCTTATACTTACTACACTGCTGCTGCTGCTGCTCTTGCTTCGGTGATTGTGAGTGAGATAGGGGGGGAGGATATTCGTATGGCTCTAGCCGTAGCGTCGACACCGAACATAAAAGGAGGCTGAGCTCGCCGCCCACCGAGGGTTTCTATCATCAGTATGCGACTGGATAGGGGGCAGAAGGAGGCCAAGGCTGGGTGCGAGTCGCTGCTTGCACGCCCCGTACTTTGTTGTTGTCCTGGTGCTGGTGGGAGGCTGGAGAGATTTCTTGTCTTATCAGCCATGTAATCGGCGGCGCCAGGAACCAGAGACGGACCGCGGGGTCGTTACAGTTACTAATTTGTGTGTTTATCAACACAACGACTGTCGATTTTAGGCGGAGGGGTAGACCCCTTCGTTCACTATCTGTCTTCTCCCAAGCTCTGATATATATACACTCTTCCTCTCACCCCGATAGCAATGACCACCTCCGAAGCTACCGTCAATGCTGAACCCGCGGAGTTCACTTATGGAAATAACGCTCTCACATGGGCAAAGGCGCCAGGCACCGTCAGCAGCGTCGAGGATAAGGGCACCATCCTCGAAAGCGACGTCCTAGCCATCATCGCCACCTCAACTACCCCTCCAGCACACACCGTCTACACCATCCCCGCCGTCTCCTCGCCAGAAAACACCGCCCTCCCCGTCCCAGACGTACAACTACACCAGACAACCCTCCTCGGCGCACCACCATCCTTCATCACCCCACACCTCCTCAGCTCGCCCACTCCCCACCTCTCCCTCCCAGCAGAAGACATCCACGTCGTCATCTCCTCCAAATCCGGTACAGCAAAAGCAGCCGCATTCTTCGAATCCGTCCTCGCGCCTGCACTGAAAGTGCTGGGACTGGGCGAAAATGAGTATCAAGTCGTGCACACGACATCGCACGAGACGATCACGGAACTCGCGGAGGGGACACTGCGTGAGAAGGCGGCGAAGGGGGTGCGGCAGACTGTCATCCTACTGAGTGGAGATGGAGGAGTCGTGGAGTTGTTGAATGGACTTGTTGGCGCCGAGGTTTCTAGGTTATATCCCCCTTTCCCTTTCATACCCAATAACAGTAACCACCAGCTAACACAACCCAGCACCTACACCCGCCCAGCAATAGCACTCTTCCCCTTCGGCACCGGCAACGCCCTGTTCCACTCAACCCACCGCCTCCCCACCCCACCCCTCTCCCCCCTCCACCACGCCCTCACTACCCTCCTTCTCCCCACCTCCCGGCCCCTCCCCCACTTCCGCGCCTCCTTCTCCTCTGCATCCCTCCTCACGAACGAAGGACGCACCGCTACGCCCCTCCCTAATAATGAGTTACACGGCTGCATCGTGGCGTCGTATGGGTTTCATTCTACGCTCGTGGCGGACTCGGATACGGCTGAGTTGAGGGAGTTTGGGGATAAGAGGTTTGGGATTGTGGCGCAGGAGTTGCTGGGGGCGCCGCATCGGTATAAGGCGGGGTTGACGATTACATCAAGGGGGAAGGAGAGGGTGGTGGAGAGGGAGAGGCATGCGTATATACTTTGTACCCTCGTTTCAAATCTCGAGAAGACGTTTACCATCTCCCCCGCCACAACCCCGCTGGATGAGGTGATGAGGGTAGTTCACTTTGACTCCGGCTCCGGCGAGGAGATCATGGGTGTCATGGCAGGCGCATACAGCGGCGGGAAGCATGTGAATAGAAACGATGGACTCGTGGGGTATGAAGAGGTTGAGGTGCTGAAAATCGATTTCAAGGAGGCGTCAGTGGAAGGGAATGAGGGGAAGTGGTTGAGGGTTTGTGTTGATGGGCTTATTGTGCGGGTGGATAGTGGGGGGTGGATGAAGGTTGAGAAGGTTGGGAAGGGGGGAGAGGTTCTTGATATTGTGGTTTAGGAGAGTAGACGGGCGCATTGGATTTTTATAGATGGTACAGGAAAAGTATTACAGAACTAATGCGCTTATGAAAACATTTCCAGCTTCCAAAGCTGTGGGTATTATTGTGGTCTATTACCAATCTCTCATATATGTCAACAAATATAAACCCATCCCGGCAGCCTAGGCTTTCCCCCCTCTAGATGTTCTCACCCTCTTACTCTTCGTCTGCACCTCCGCATCACCAGACTCACCATCCCCATACTCCACACCCTCATCATCCGCCTCCCCCCCATCCTCCCTCACCCCTCTCTTCCTACCCCTCCCCTTCTTCACCTGCTTCGCCACCTGCGCCGCCTCACTCAACTCATTCCTCCTCGCCCACTCCGCCGCCTCATCCGCAAACGTCCTATCCAACCCCCCAGCCCCCGCCGTCTTCAGCTTCCTCACCGCAGCACTCATCCTCTTACTCCCCTTCCCCCTATTCGCTCCCACCCCACCAGACCGCGCGCCCGCCCCAACAGCACCATCAAAGTACCGCGTGATATTCGCCTGCGTCCCCTCCGCTTCACGGCGATTCATGTCCTGGATGACAGGGACGAGGACTTCATCCGTGCACTCTGGTGTCCACCCTATCGTAGCCATGAGGAAGGAGCGCAAGTTATCCAGGTCCGGGACGCCCCATTGGAAGGGGTCAGGCGTGCTATCTACGTCGGCGTGGAGGTATGCTTCTGTGACTGCCTTGCTCGGGAAGGCGGGGGGCAGGAAGAGCTTCGAGGCTTGAGATTTCCGGAATTTCCTCCGGAAGGAAGAGGTGCTATCTGCTTCCTTGGGGCGTTGGTTATGCTGCACGTCGTACCACCAGTCTTTGAACTCCTGAAGACCGTCGGAGGACGGGAATTCGGAGATGATTTCCAAGGCTGTGACGGGGCCGATTCCAGGGAGTCCTTCGGTGTAATCGCTGCCTAGGAGATGAGCGAATTCGATGAGTTTGTCGCGGGGGAGGGAGAGCTCCTTTTCGAGGTCGGAGGCGAGGTAGCATTCGACGAATTTGTTGCTGTTGAACATGTTTTTGTAGACTCGCGTGCCGCCGAAGAGGAAGACGTCCGAATCGTCGGTGATGATTCCGTCGACTAGGCCGAGTGTGACGAGCTCGGCACATTGGGCTTCGGCTTCCATGGGGGCTGTGATGTATGGCAGCCCGAACAGACGGAGAAGTGCTTGGCACTCTGTGACCATGATATGAGATACCTCGTCTGCATCACGACGGTCCTTCTTTTGCTGGTTGCGAAGTTGTTTGAGCTCTCGCTCGTAGTCTTCTTGGTTAACCTGTGGAGCCTTGTTGTTGAGGCTACTGGCAAAACGTGCGTGCTCTTCTGCTTCGAGGGCAAGATGTGCAAGTAGTTCTTCGTCTTCGGGGTCGCTCAAGTCGCCAAATTCATCATCAGAAATTGTATGGGCAGCCTGGCGGTCAAAAGCGTCGTCATTCTCTGCGGCAAAGATATCGTCTTGTCCTTGGAGAGTGGGAGGCACCGCTGTTGGCATTGGTCCGTTCAATTCGACATCCTCAAATGTAGGGGAGGGGCTCTTTTCATGGGCCGGAGCCTTCGATGGTGGAACTTCCCTGGGCAATCCAGAACTCTCACTCCGTCGTAGTTTTCCGGAGGGCTCGTCTCGGTCACTTTCTGACCATTCAACGGGCTCCTCTTCTGAAGGCAAGTTTGCCTCCTCGCCTCTGTCTTCCAGCACAGCTGGGGTGCTTTTTTCAGCGTGTTGTTGAGACATGTCAGCCGGCTTATTACTTATGCTGGCAATAGAATCTTGCTCGGGTTTCGCCTTGTCGGAGGGTGATAACCTTCCGTCTGCAGCGGCGACCTTTGGTGCCGGCGCTTCAACGATCTCAATGTCACTGCCTTCATCTGAAGACTCGATCTCAATGACGCCATGATCGCGCCTATATATTTTCTCCTCTTCCAAACGCCTCTCATAATCTGCAGCGTTCACTCGCTGATCTTTGGCCATCTGCTCTTTCACATCGGACCGGATATCCCCCGTGCTGGCTAGCCACGGTGGAAGTGGTCTTGCTTTTTCGACGCTACCCTCACGCTCAAATCCCCCAGCCAAATCTTCATTATCCTTTTCCTTTTCAGTACTTTTGGCTTTGTTAGGGCGGGCCTTGGCATATCCACTGAATATGGATTTCTTCAAATCGAGTTTCTCAAATGGTAGAGGCCCGCCAAACGGATTCGCAGCAGCGCTCAGTGAAGAGGTAGGTGCTGATGGCGCCATCTTCCCAGCAACCCCCTTCTGCTTCCTCGCTGTAGCAAGAATATCCTGCAGGTTCTCCTCCTCGTCGCTGCTCTCGGCAGCCATGCGCTTTGGCACCGCAGCATTAGCCCTGTTATTGACAATATGGATCATTCCATTCCCACTACTCTTTTGAAGTGGCCGGTAGTCTTTAGCTGACTTCTGCTCATATGAGGGCATCTGAACATCTTCGAAATCGTCTTCTTCTTCAGATTCCCCAGCCGCAAAGCTTTTCTGCAACGACATCGCAATCGCACGATTCAGCTCTTCCTCTTCGTCGACTTGCTCGCTCTCTTCGAACAAGTCTTCGGCCTCGTCTTGTTCTACGAAAAGAGAGTTTGTTGGAGCTTGATCCTTTTTTGCAGCATCCTCGTCAGCCAATTGGAGCGCCCTAACTTGGTCCATTTGTTGCTGGAATCGCGCTTGTTCCGTGGGAAGCCGATTGAGTCCTTGGACGGGGACATCTTCAAACTCATCCTCATCCTCGAGCTCTTCATCTGTCGGTTTAACCTGTCTTCGTTCATGCAAAGCATCAACGTCTATCGGCTTGTTTCGTTCCCCTTGGTCTCTATCCTTGCTAACAACACCCAACGCCCATCCACCCTCCACTCCTTCATTCTTCACAAGCATGTATTCCCGGCCTCTTTCGCCCGCAATTCTACCATTGCCCACGCCGAACATGGCCTCTTCGGCGTTCATCCCATTCAAGTTCATTAATCGCTGCGTTAATTCGTTTCGTTCCCTCACTCGGTCGACTTGGAATTTCGAGAATGCCATCCTATCCGGAAACATCTCCTCGAGTTGCTCTTTGCTCAACCCCATCCTGAGCCTGGATCTCAACCTCGCAGCATTGAGGATATTATACCTGTCAGCAGGCGGTAAACACTTAAAAAAGTCTCCATCAAAATCGATTTTACTGAAGTCGTACAAGTCCACGTTCTCCCCACTATTGTGCTGTCTTGCAAACTCCTCCAGCTCTTCTGCAGACATAATTCGAGGATCATTCGGCTGTCCCATATTTGAAATATCACCATTCAAATCCGGCAGATGGTATTGGTTCTTCTTCACAAACTTCCGGCTCTGTTGCCTCTCCTGGTGGTTCATGCCCAATTCGTCGACGTAGACCAAGTTCTGATCATCCGGTAGTTCCTCACCCTCTACAGCCTCTGTAGGACGGCCTCTAACCTCAATCTCTCGATTCCGTTTCTCCTCCGCCCCTTCCGCCACCCGCTGCATCTGCATTGCAAGCAGCTTCCCCGCCGTCCTAGTCGCATCATCGCGTCTTCCCTCTCTCCATCGCTTCCGGCCCAGAATCGTCTGCCGTTTCAGCACAGGCGCGCCACCATCGAATACAAACACCGGTTTGATTCCGAAATACAGCAGTTTGCAGATGCGCCGGAAGAAGCCAACGACGTGAGAGTTGCGGAGCGCATTCCCCTCCTTGTCGCGCACCGCTTTTAGGAACTGGTATATCCAAATTGACGCGTCAACCGCAAGGCGCTTGCGGTTGAGAGCTTCCAGCTTCGTAGGTCTGGCGCATGGGTGCAGCACCGACCAGAGTTGGGTCACACCCATCGTTCATGGAGGTGGCGGACCTCGCAGGCAGTGTTTGCTTGTGTCGCAGGAGTCGATCCCGACGTTGCCTTCGCTGCAATATCAGCAGGGTGCCTTGTCGCAGTTTACGGAGACTTCGGGCATCATGTTGGCGGTTTCGTCGGCGATGGCTCGAGTTTTATCTACTGAAGGCATCCATTCGCCTTCTCGACGAGTCATTGGGTATTCGTGACGTACTTAACGCGAAGTCACGTGAGTTATCCAACGCCCTTATCGTTATCAGTATCGCCATGGATATCAGCGTCTTGTCACTAAGGTGGACGACTAAAATTTTGACATCAACTGCAGAGCAAGATGGCGACTACGAACGCCGAGGCAAAGGATTATCTCAATGGCCTTTTAAACAAGAGCCTTCGTGTCACAACGACTGACAAGCGAATGTTCCTCGGCGAGTTCAAATGCACAGATTCGGTAGCCATTTCCCCCTCCTCCCTACTGCACATTTCAAACACCCCGCAGCTAACAGTGACGGGATAGGATCGCAATATGATCCTCGCACGTACCTACGAATACCGCCTACCCTCAGAATCGTCCCTTCCACAAACTTCCGGTACTGGCTCGGTCACGTTGGAAATGACATCCCGCTATCTGGGTCTGGTCGTTGTGCCGGGCGAGCATATCACGAAGGTCGAGCTCGAACAATTCGCGTCGCAGATGAAATCCACGGGGTCGTGGTCGGGCAATATGCTGAAATCGCAGACTGGAACTACTACAACAACGGCGTCAGAAGCCGTATAGCACCCCGCTCTGGCTATTGTGGGATTCACATGTACTTTTACTAGGTGGTTATGGATAGCACGGAATATTCGATTCGTACACGACGAATTGGGAATGGAAATGAACGGGCATATGCGAAGGGTATATAAGCCGAACGCTGTGCAGGATGCCGTTGCAAAAGCCCGGACGATAAGACACCTGGCTGGCAACGAGAACCTACGGATATAAGTGGGCACTGAATCTTCAGGGTTGCATCAGGCCTACGGTTTAGAAACACAAGTTATGAATACAAGGCTAACATTTTCGGAAACTCAAAGCAAAGTATAAACAACATATTATTTTATTAACATCGGGTCGTTGCGAAACACATGTTGTATAAGAAAAGAAAAGAAAGCAATGAGATTCCGGGATCAAGTTTCCCGCAAAACTCCCAACTCGTCAAACACCAAAGAAAGGCCATTCCAACCCCGGCGCCCTTAGGCTTCAACCGAGGCCTCGTGCAGACGACCTCTGCTCTCGCCGTTGAGAATCTCACTCTCCTGCACAGAGTGCCTGTCCTCGTCCTCCTCATCATCATAATCATCGACGCCCTGGTGCGCGCTAGCTGGGACCCACATGCCAGGCTCGCGGTCCTTGTATGAGCTGTCTTGGCCAGAAAGGTCCTGGCCCTCTGCGTTACGGGCGATGTTGTTTCGGCGGCGCTGGGACAGGGTGCGTGCGCGGCTGGATAGCTTTGCGTTGACAGCAGCCTTGGAGTCGACCCAGTTGGTGAGGGCATCCTCACAGTCTTGGATGATGGCCTTGCTGGCCTCGTAACCATCGTATGCAGCTCTGGTCTCGCCAGGGGTGACTGGGGTGTCGTCAATCAGCTCCAATAAGTGCTTTCCGTAACCAGCGATGGTGGCTAGCTTCTCGCTGTGCTCGCGGAGGGCATTGAATTGGTAGTTGAATGCTGCCTTGATCTTCTCGCGGGTGATGTTCGAGAGCTGGGCCTCGGCGACGAGCGACTCGGCTTCGGCGCGGACAAGCTCCTGCTCGAGGATAACAATTCGGGGGGAGTTGGGCTCCTTGTATTTTAGTTGCGCGATTTGGTCTATGATCTTCTGCTTGCCTGCATTGAATTAGTATCATGGTAGGCGCATTGAGGAACGAAGAAACCTACGGTCTCTGCTTGGCTGCACCGACGACTCAATGTTGCGGATGCTCTTGATGGTGACGCGGTATTGATCGTACTGGTCAACGTAGGAGTCCTCGAGCTCACCCATTTCGTAGAGCAGCACACCAAGCTTGTCGGTCACATCGGATACGTCATCGTCGCACCCCTCACCCCAGATCGACAATTGTTGCTATGTGATGTCAGTAAAGGCGACAGCAAGCGGATCTGGTGTCGCAAGCTTACAGCAACTTCCATGCGCTCTCTGCCGACGAGCTCCATGCTCCTCATAACGTTCTTCTCCATCTTCACGAGCTGGGCGAGCTTCTTGCTCAGCTCGGTGCTACCGAAGCCAGCACTGCCAAGGCGAATTAGGAATTAGTTATGTATCCAGGGTTGCGCAAAGGGTTCAAACATACGCATGCTTCCTCAATCCATGGCCAATGCCGCCCCGGCCAAAAATGCGCCCCGACTTGGTTGTCGATGGTGGAGGCGGTGGGTTCTGGAGCTGCGACGCCGTCGGAGCGCGAGACTGCCGCAGGGAATATGTACGATGCATTGTCTGTTGATTGACAAGTTTGTTGACAGCGAGGATGTGCTTATTATGGACGGATTATGTATCAGTCGTTGGATTGATAGTAGAAGGTAGCAAGATCTCAAAAAGAAGGAGAAGGAGGAGAAGGAGGGGGAAGGAGGAGAAGGAGAAGGAGAGGAGAAAGAAGGAGGAGAAGGAGAAGGAGACGGAGACGGAGAAGGAGGAGGAGAGAAGAGAGTCTGGGCTGAGGATTTGATCAAGGGTGGAGTGACTTTAGTTGACTTTCAGGCTAAAGCGTCAAGAAGAAGGCGAAAGACAGAAAGCAGAAGGGTGAGGGGGGGACGGGGGAGACGGGGGAGACGGGGGGGACGACTGCGTCATAGTTGTGTGTTTAAGGTTTGAAAGGTTCCACTTTTGGGCAGATGGGAGGTTGTGATTGGATAGAATCTTGGGGGGGGGCTACGCACGACAACCAAAGCCTCGACGTAGCCGGTTGATTTGTTGATTTGTTGATTTTGGTGATATATTATATATTGATTTTGTTGATTTTGTTGATTTTCTATATTGATTTTGGCTATTTAGGCTATTTGCTATTTAGGCTATTTAGGCTATGGTTATTTTGTTAATCAAGGGATGCAAATGATAATTCACAGCATCCAAAAAACCATCCCAGGTCGTTTCAGACGATCGACCGGCTTGGGTTTATCAAGGCATCAAGCGCCGACAGGGTGGGCACACTACTCCAGTAGCACGTTATAAAAGTCTCGGAGTGGGCACACTACTAGTCTCAGAGTGTCGCATCCGATGTCATACTTTTTAAAGACAACAACAGGATCTCGGGCACGAGCAAAGATCCATTGCGTCAAAATCAGCTATGATTTAATCCTTCCATAGACCGACCATGACCATAGTTATGATTTAATCCTTCCATAGACCGACCATGACCATAGTTATGATTTAATCCTTCCATAGACCGACCATGACCATAGTTATGATTTAATCCTTCCATAGACCGACCATGACCATAGTTATGATTTAATCCTTCCATAGACCGACCATGACCATAGTTATGATTTAATCCTTCCATAGACCGACCATGACCATAGTTATGATTTAATCCTTCCATAGACCGACCATGACCATAGTTATGATTTAATCCTTCCATAGACCATAGACCATAGACCCTTTGAAAGTAGATTAGGTCCTAGAACTACCGGGAAATATACACCATGAAAAAGAACTTCGTTAACTGCCCCCCTTCTCCTCTTCTGACGTCATAACTAGAATCGCTAGGTTCGGCGTTGGGTCACGGGATTGCTGCCGCCGCTGTAGATTAGATTAGATTGGATTAGATCGGATTAGATCGTGCCATGGCTGTTTCTTTCTCGTCCCAAAGTTTATCGAAAGGTGAGTATCCACGTACCACGCTCGCGGTCACGACGATATACAAATATTATCATAGCAATATGATAACACAAGAAATTGCTTGCTTCTCGTGAGAAATGGCTATCCAGGTATGTGGGAGTGCCCAGTGGCTTGTATGGAATTTAGGACGTCGTGTGCTAACATCTCCACAGCATGTGTATTCGCTGGATCCCATCACAGCCCTCGCATATTACTGCCAAGCGGAGAGTATAGAGCAAAATGAGTTGCTTCTGGTTGGAGAGGGTGCCTTTCTCAAGATTTATGAAGTTAAATCCTCAAGGCTCATCGCACAATGCAGAGTCTTCAACTCCCAAACTGTCCACGGGATCGCCGTGCAGGGGGACCAAGGATCTGGCGATGGTCTAATAGCAATCTGGGGAGGCCGTTCCTTTACCTTGCTTGACGATGTTGACTTGAAAAACATCATGTCGGCTGACATGAGCTCGCTCGTTTCCAATGAGAAGGTCGCCCCTGACTGGCTACTGGCCTGTGCTATTTCTCTCTCTGATGCTTCAGGGGGTTGCATGTTCATTACAGCCCACAGCGTTGCCCTACATGTTTTACCACTCGATGGCTCAAAGCAACTGTCTGTGCGGCGCCTGTCGTCGCCTTCCCGCTCAATTCTATACTCTGCCAATGTTGTCTGGACTTCAGAGTCTTCCATTATGGTTGCAGCCGGCACAGTATTTGGAGAAATTGAAATTATTGCCTTGAAAATGAGTATTTCAGACTCTACAGAAAGTAGCGAGATACTTTTCACTTTCACCGGCCATGAAGGATCAGTATTCGGGGTCCAGATCTCCCCCGAGATAAGAGGGCCAGACGGTCAACTTACCAGACTTTTGGCCAGCTGCAGCGATGATCGAACCATCAGATTATGGGATCTCTCGCCGTTAAATAGCAACCCAACAGATCCTCCGCTAACAAAACGTCTGTTAAAAGATACTGGTTTTGGCGGAGTTGTTCCCGACTCACAGGGTATACTTTCTGAAAAGCTACGCATAGCTAGTGCAATGGGGATGCATGCCTCTCGCATTTGGCAAGTCAAATTTATCACTCCCAAGGAACCGGAGTCAGAAAAGGCGACCCCAGTCAATGTTCTCTCCTTCGGTGAAGACTCGACAGTGCAACAGTGGGCTCTAGATGGATGGTCAAAGGCGCCTAGCGACAATGCTACTCAGGATGGTCTTGGACTAGAAAAGTTAACTTTAAAGCCCAAAGCCTCCCTTACACATATCCAGGAATTCTCACACCATACTGGAAAACATATATGGTCATCTTCTTTACTTGCTACCGGGCAGCTACAAAGCAGATTGGCCACGGGCGGTGCAGATGGAGCCGTCTCGGTGTTCGATATTTTTCTTGGTGGGCAGCAGGCAGACCAAGAAAGTGAAAAGATGGCTCATGGTTCAATCGCGGATGAGTTACCGGAACACCATAGGCACCCAATATCTTGGATCAAATCACTGGATGATCTCGTTGAACCGCTACCTCCAGCTCCAGTAGTTGAGGAGCCTGTCGTGGAACAAGCTCCAGTCATCACGGAATCTAAAGATGGAAGCCCAGAGGATGCAGAAAAGAGCAAGAAGAAGAAGAAGAAGAAGAAGAAGAAGCCTGCGGCCCCAAAAGACTCTTTTAACAAATACGCACTTGTCGGTCCAAATCAAGTTCTCTTCACGACGAATTCCGGAAGGGTGGTCGTCCAGTCAGCCGCTCCCACTAAGCCTTGGCTCGAACTGTCACTCCCCGTCGGCTCTGAATCAGACCTTAAATCTTACTCAGTTGTCACTGGTATACCAGAACACGGGATTGCCATATTGGCCGGTGCGAATGGCAAAGTTTATATGCATTCTCCATCACGGGGCATACAACAAATAGCGGATTTAAAACACAAGGTAGCGGGACTGTTTTATATTTCAAGGCCGAGTAGTGATACCCTACTAGTCCTCGCAACCCTCCTTGGGAGCTCGGAGGCTAGTGTTATTACACTCCGGCCCGCTTCGTTGGGGAAATTGGATGTTCAAACCATCCATTTACCGCCTGCATTTGTAGTGACAAGTGCAGGCGAGGTCTGTGACTTGATCATACTCGGATCGAGAAATGGGAAAATCGCAGTTTATAATTTGGACGCCGGAGCAAATGAGCTGATTGTTGCTCTTGACGAGAGTTTCAAGTGCCATGATGCAATAACCTCTGTTATAAGGGTTCCAGAATCCTTCGAAACCCCGGGTCGCTTTATCGTTACAGCCCGTGATGGAACTTATGCTATTTTACTTGCATTGGTCAACCCGCTCAATGATGATGAAGCCTTGACCCTGTTGGTACTTATTCACCAGACACCGCTTCCATTTGGGCCAATGATAGAAGGGGCTTCATTCTGTGGCATATCACTGATTGTCCATGGCTTTTGGGGCAAAACGTTTATTGTCTGGAATGAAACGGAGCAAAGAGAAATATGCAGGGTTGACTGCGGTGGGGCTCATAGAAGCTATGTTTACTCCCTTCTACCTCAATACGGCGGTACCTACTTTGCGTATACCAAAGCGTCAAAACTACACATACATGAGCAATACCATCCGTCGCACAACGTCTTGAAGTCAGGCGGCCATGGACGAGAGATCAAAACCTGTGCCATATCCCCAGATCAACTTTTTATTGCTACGGCAGCAGAGGATACAAATATAAGAATATGGGACTACGATGACGATCATGACAAGGTCCTCGGAGAAAGGCTCCAATGCCATGTTACCCTGCGAAAACACAGTGCTGGGGTTCAGCACCTCCAGTGGGCGGCTTCGTCAGACAAGATCCACTACTTGTTCAGTGGCGGCGGGTGTGAGGAGTTCAATGTCTGGGCGGTTACGCGCGTACTAGGGGGAGGGCTCGGGGCAGTCTGTGAGGCTACTCTAGATGATCTGAGCGAGGATCGAGACCTGCGGATTATGGGCTTCGATATTAACGCTATGAGTAACCCCGTCGAGGTTAATCTTGCAAAGACCGAGTCGATGTACTTGATTGTGATTGCGCTTTCTGACTCCACCATTAGGGGATATTGGTATACAAAAGCCGAAGGTTTCGAAAAGTTCGGAGAGGGAAGATACACTTCTTCGTGTATAACACAGATAAAACTGATGGTATCGGCGGATAGCGGGTCGCACATTCTAACGGCCTCGACGGATGGTCATCTTGCATTATGGACATTGGGCGAGGATGGTGAGGACAACGATGACGATGAAGGAGAAGTTGCGACATTTTCCGTGACGAAGAGAATTAAAGTTCACCAGTCGGCCATTTTGTCATTTGATACTCTCACAATAGGACCCGATGGTTTCATCATTGCTACTGGAGGCGACGACAATGCCGTGTCGCTGGCGTATCTCAATGGCGATGAATTTTCATTGCGGCTAACAGTTCCATCAGCCCACGCTGCTGCTGTCAGTGGGCTGGGCTTTGTTGCTCACTCACACGATTCTCCAACTCAGACAGGAATCTTTCGCTTCTGCACAGTGGGTGGAGACCAAAAGGTGAAAAGTTGGGAATTTAAGGCAGTAGCGGAACAAGAACAGGGAGCATTCAAGCTTGGCGAGTTGGTATGGCAGGAGGCAGGAGTTGGTGATATGACGACTACAACCAATGTTCCGGATGCTGCTGGGGTGGCCATTTTTGTTGGGCATTGCAGCCATGTGCATTGCTTGGTCTATGGCAATGGGATGGAGGTATTTGATGCTTGATATGATTATATTCTTGGGATAGCCTAGGAATATAGTTGGGATATTATGGTTGTATCATCTGTTGCTCGTATATATTTTAACACATAAATTCTTGGGCATTCAAATATTTATCATGAAAATAATATAGTTAATGATAAAAGTTCCAATATAATTCACCACAAAGCCAAAAACGGGGAATAACAAGCATAGTCTCAATCTGCTCAGAGGACCCAAGTCAAGCACAATTCCCATCATCCCGGATAGTCTACTGGTTGATCAGAGGGTGGTTTATGGGTTGTGCTGTCGACGGAAGTGAGAAATGATATCCAACTCCGGGTCATAGTAATCCCGGTGGCGGCCAAATATATCGCGCTAGCAAGGTACCCCCTTGTCATACTGCCAGTGTTATCGCGAGTTTAAACATTTTGGACCTGGCAGATCAACTCAAACAATTCGCAGCTCGCGCCAAGAAGGAATCATTCAAAAAGCGCGAAGCAAAAGGCCCTGTTGCTACAGAAGCAAGAGACAGCCAGTAGGAAACACAAATGCAGCTGGCGAATGGACACAATGGACATAATGGACACAATACCTTCATCCACAGATGCGCCAATGGGAGATGCACCCCAAGACACGCCAGTTTCCGAGGAAACCTCCCACCCCTCCTCGATGCCTCAAAAGCGCGTGTTGGAGGATGACCATGTGCCGTCCGTATCCTCACCACTAAACCCGGATTTCAACAAAGTGCCAAAAGACGAGGCGCCAGCGGCTAAGGAGCGCGCAGCTCGCGCCAAGAAGGAATCATTCAAAAAGCGCGAAGCAAAAGGCCCTGTTGCTACAGAAGCAAGAGACAGCCCAGACCCGGCCAGCCCAGCCAAGCAGAGGAAGACGTCCGACGTCCTCGCACCTTTGCGCTACAAGCTAGCTCCACCAAGGCTCGCGGATTTTGAACCTCCACAAGGGCCAGTATTTACCCCGAGCCATACGATTAAAGGCCCCGATGGCGCACCGATACAATTCTATGAAGCTTCGGACTAGTAAGACTTTCGCGCCCCGATACTTGGAGGTTACCTGCTAATGTGTCTATCTCCCTCAGCGCCTCCAATAAAAAGAACTATCGTTATACTCACTGTATCGCCGACCCCGAATTCCCCTCGTCCCTATTCTACCGCCAGTCCGAAACTGCGCCGTTCACTCCACGCCTTAATTTCGAAGATCAGGCGGGCCATATGTTCGTGGACCCGGCAGGTCGCCATGTTTCGACTGATAAAGGTTTCCGCATGGCCAAAGCAAATGTATGCGTGAGAGAAGGACGCTATTACTGGGAATGCAAAATCACAAGCGGAATACCAAAACAAGGGGAAACAAGCGAGGGGCATGTACGAGTGGGCTGGGCGAGGAGAGAGGCTACACTGGAATCGATGTGCGGCTTCGATGCCTACAGTTACGGAATTAGGGATGTCACTGGCCAAAAGGTCCACCTGTCGCGACCAACGGCGTTCTTTCCACCAGGTGAAAATATAGAGGTCGGGGATGTGGTAGGACTGGAGATTAACCTTCCATCGCTATCTCTACACAGCAAGGTTGTTGAAGGACGATATAACCCAGCCGTGGATCTGGAAGACGATGAGCTGGGGCACACAGTTTCCGATATCATACGGGACCGGGTTCCCATACGATTCAAGTCCCACCTCTACTTCGAGCAGATTGATTACCTTCCGGTGAAAGAGCTCGAAGACTTGATGAATCCTGCTCCGACAGGAACTGGTAGCGGTGGCTCAAACCAGAAACCAAGCGCAACGCATCCGGTGCCTGCTATGCGCACTCTGCCAAATTCCAGCATCAAGATTTATAAAAACGGAGTTTACATGGGCGAGGCCTTCAAGGATCTCTTCGCATTTCTACCGCCAGCGTCGTTGCCGCAGGCCCAAGTGGGTGCCCGAGAGGGTCTGGATGATGGAATGCTGGGATACTATCCGGCAGTCAGTGTTTTCCGTGGCGGCGCTGCGGAAATCAACCTTGGCCCCGACTTCTGGTTCCCTCCGCCTGGATCCGATGCGGATGATGACGAGGTCGACATGGTCGGAAGCGACCCGCAAGCAGCATCGAAGGGCAAGAAAGCGAAGCCCGTCTCGGATAGATTTGATGACCAGATCGCCGAGGATATCGTTTATGACATTATCGATGAGGTTGATTTTTGGATGCAGGATGGATTCGTCGTGCTGAACCAGGCCCGCAACACAGCAATGGCTCATCCTACGGCCACGAATGGTAATGGAGAGCTAGGGGAAAACATCATTCCGCATGGCGAGATCAAGGAGTTGGTTCAGGATGAGGAGTAATGATGGATAATGAATGATGCGGCGCAAAAGCACAAAACGACAGTCGGGATTATTATCGTTGTGATCATTGCCCTGGCTAGAACAATCGATGGCGCTCCCATAGCCCGGCAACGCTGTTACTACAGCAAACCACAGCAAAAGTATTGAAACAATGTTTCACCTCATGAAACCGAGGTGCCTGAATATGTCATGATATAAATGACGAAAACAGTACCGGGCCGGGATGCCCGGTGCAAGACAAATTCAAGAGACCCTTAAGTTGCAATTGCAACCGGCGCATTTCTCAACCTCGTTGCTACTATTTTGTACGGATATATCTCGACAGATATCAAAAATGAAATGAAATTTCGGGGAGCTGATTGATAATATGAGAGTACGCCCACGCACCCATGATGATCAGAGTAATCGAATAACCCCGCGGTGGCCGGCATGACGTCGACTGTACCCAATCCAATTTTGGCATGAGACGGCACGGACGCAGCACCCAGGAGCTGTACGTGTGTACGAGTAAACTGTGCCTCGCATGAACAATATCTGGTGGCTGCCATGCAAACTCTTGCCGACAGTGACTCCACTACTTCTCTCGAGATTGCTCTACCGTTTCACATTTCATTTCTGTCGCCTGGGCCCGGGCGTCGCAAGAGAGCTTCTGAAATCCGGCTCATGCTACATCATCAGTTGTACTGCTGTGCACAACTCCCGCGCATCAGAAGACCGAGTAAACTTTGATGTCTCAGCCTCTTTTGCGAGGGTTTTCTGCTGCTCACTTCCTTGGGGGAAGAGTCTGGCCATTCCTGGGCACGTCGTAGGTGCGCCCATTGGCAGCGATGCAGAGAGTTACTTCCATGCTGCCGTCCTGGGACAGGACAAAGAAGGGCGGCAAGCACGGCTTCGATAAAGTCTGGGGCTGGGCTGACAAGCTCGGTGCCCCGGTAAACAAGCTCACGAACAAAATCGGCAGTGAGGCGTTTTGGCCGACCGAATTGGACAAAGAGAGTGACAAGGCTGCGAGGATATTGAGGAGCTTCTGTAGTAAGTAGTCCCATGCTTACCTCGGGCCACAAATACTTCCCGACGTGGACCGGTACCTGTGTTGTGCGCATTGAAGGGGAGGGGTGAAATGGTTTTATGGTCTTATAGTTTGCTAACATTGGGTCACAGAGGATGGCTTCTACAAAGAAGAGAAACTGCCGCCGAGCGAAGTCGGTCCCAACAAGAGTGCGAAGCAACGAGTACTTATGAAGATCCCGCCAAATGTGGTCAAGAATGCAGTTGGGATGGCCATTTTCACAACAATGCGCTCAGGTCTTTGGATTTCGGGTGCGGGCGGATCTGGGGTCTTGGTCGCGCGGTTGGAAGACGGGTCGTGGTCACCTCCTTCAGCGATTATGCTACACACCGCCGGGATAGGATTTTTAGTGGGCATCGACATATACGACTGCGTTGTGGTAATCAACAGCAGGAAGACCTTGGAGTCGTTTACGAAGATTCGAGCAACGGTTGGTGGCGAAATCAGTGCCGTTGCAGGGCCAGTTGGGGTTGGTGGGGTGATTGAGAGTGATGGGAAATGGAAGCAGATAAACAGGCCAGTGTTCACATACCTGAAGTCGAGAGGATTCTATGCTGGAGTTCAGTTAGACGGCACAGTAATTATCGAAAGAACTGACGAAAATGAGAGGTTCTATGGCGAGAGGATATCCGCAGCGAATATCTTGGCTGGAAAGGTCAGATTCGTACCGAGGGAAACAAAAATGCTCCTGGAGACACTGAAGCTGGCAGAGGGCCGATCGGACTACGACCAGGAACTGATGGAAGAATTGGAGGATCAACCCGCCCCAGGAGATGTCGATGTCGAGTCAACAACTGTTTTCGGAATCCCCGAACTAGATGACCCCGATCCATTCGGCGTCCTTGCTTTAGAGCAGGCCGGGTTGGATATCAAAGAGGCAGGGAGCCACTCCCGGCCGAGTAGCTCACAGTTTGAATACAAGCCGAGCCCCATGAGTCCGATATTTCCACACCTAAACCGGATGAGTATGGACACAACCGGGGCAGGCAGTCGAGCCAGCTATATGAGCAACTCGAAAAGAACCAGCTTACGAACTGTCCGAAGTATTTCAATGGGTACACAAACGGACGCGGATGACTCGTCCAGCGTGCATGCAAAGACTCCAATCGAAGCGGCTGATACTCCTGTGGAAAAAGTTGTAGAACCGCCGGATGTCGACTACACGCAAATTGATCTCGGACCCTACAGTGGCTTCACGAGCTCAAGCCGTGCTTCTGAGTTCAATGGGAGTGGCACGACTATAACAGAGCAAGAATCGCCCGAAGCCCAACACCACGATGGGGCCGACAAGCATGCCGAACCCCCAAACCACGAAACGTCCGCGAAGCATGTGGAACCGCAGCATCAAGAAAGGTCTGAGAAGGGTACCGAGCCCCAATATCGCGAAAGGTCCGAGAAGCGTACGGAACCCCAAAACCACGAAGATTCCGAGAAGCACGGCGATAGCGAGGCCGACAATTATTCAGACGACGGTTTGGACGACGACGAGCCCGTGGTTTTCGAGGCGGCAGCAGCAACGCATCGCCCGACCCACATCAACGTTGTCAAGGCGCGAGGAAATGTCGTCACCATCCCACCAAGGCCGACACCACCTCTGCCACCAAGGAGTTCGGCAAGAGGTAGCAGGAGTTTAGTCAATGGTGTGTGGGAGAATGGGTCCCCACTTGCTAGCCCGAGGTCGGACAGGTTTTCTCCTCTCTCGAGCCCAAGGGCTGACGGGTTTGAGATTGCCAAGCTTAACGGGAGCCCAAGCAGTCGGCCTTCATCGCTCCAGAGCCAGACTGAAAAACCAAATAGCACAACCGAAAATGGGGTCAAGGCAGTGGATGAAGCCAATGGAGTTAAAGAGAAGAAGTCGAGTGAAGCGGAGGTCCCCTACGGTCGATATCTTTCCTCTGGAAACCAGACGAGCAACCCATAAGGAAGAGACCGTCCCCGCTCCTCCCAAGCTCGGATTTACCTGAAGATGGGGACGGAAGTCAGAATGAGGACTTTCAGGATGCTGTCGACGCACACACTGGTGACAAGGATACGAGTACCGACACATAGGCGCCGACGTATTTAGGATATAGGATATAACTATAACGCAATTCAAAGGGATGGCTTGTACATGTTGTCTGCTTGATCGTGTGAACCTGATCGAGGTGATATTCTTGGCTTTACTCCTCCCCTTTGTAGTAAGTTACTAAACAAATCATAGCATCTCAGCATCCGTCAATCCAGGGCCTTTAGCTCAGTGGTTAACAATCCCTCGTGGCGCAATGGCTAGCGCGTTCGACTGTTAAATAAATAGTAATTCTATACTTGCAAATCTTGCAATCTTGCAATCGAGAGGTTGGTGGTTCGACCCCACCCGAGGGAGTTTCCTTTTTTCCTTTTTTCATTTTTTTTTTTTCATTTTTGCTTTCTTTTCCATGTCATTAAGACTTGAATGTTGACGTGGTTGACGTGGTTGACGTGGTTGACGTGTGAAATACTACTGCTGTTCTAGATTTTTGGTCGCGTACCTGAGCGAAGTCGCGTATTCCCCACGTAAAGGCTGGCAAGGCGGGAGCGAGTCAACACCACATTTGTTGGAAAACATTTCACTTTTGCCCCAAGCCTACCACAGTTGAAGTTACAGATCCCACTCATGTCGGCCGGGCAGTACGATGATAGCAACCGCGCCTTTCTCCAAGCCTTCATGGCAAGAGGCACCTTGACGTTCAGGGAAGCACGACCCCTCCTCGCCGCCATATTCTCTGTGAAAGATGGTACCTCACCCATTCCCTTCCAGCTTTGCCTCCAAGTTTCTAATTAGCTACAATACAGGCGAAACTGTTCGCCCCGATGAAGTCACCATGCCAGATTTCGAATCTTACGTCCACGCCGCCTCCGACGCCTTATCCCCCTTCGACTACGAGATCCGCTCCACACTACACCAGATCTCGAAAGAGCGCATATGGGCCCTCGTGAACAGCACCAGCGACGCCCTGACGCAAATGGCAACAGTGAGAGCAGCAGACGAGATCGCATTCATTAAGCGGGTACTAGATGCGATGTTTGAAACCTACAATATCGAGCGCCAGGAAGTCATGGGGATTACGAGCATGCAGGCCATGAAAGTAGCGAAAGCGGACGAGAGGAGGCGGCAGAGCAACGGGGCCGGCGAAGAGAGCCAGAGCGCAGACAAGGGGCTCACGCACGGGCAGGCCGAGAAGCTGATGCTGAGTTTGGTCGATGAGGGATGGTTTGAGCGCAGCGAGGCGGGGTGGTTTACGATTTCTCCGCGGGCGTTGATGGAGCTCAAATCCTGGCTCGTGGCGACTTATAATGATCCTGATGCGGAGGCGGGCGAGTGGCAGCATATTAAGAACTGTGATGCCTGCAAGGGGATTGTGACGATGGGACAGAGGTGCTCGGCGGTTTCGTGTACGGTGCGCCTTCATGAGGGCTGTTTGGGCCCGTTTTGGAGGACGAGGAGGGAAGAAAAGTGTCCCAAGTGCAAGACGCCGTGGAAGGGCTTGTGGGTTGGGGAGAAGGCTGTGACGACGACGGAAGCATATAATCGCGGCAGGAGGATTAGTGGGGGAGGGAATAGGAGGCCAGCGCAAGAGGACAAGGAAGAGGAAGAGGTAGAAAACGGGGCAGAGGAAGGGGAGAAGGAAGATGACGAGGACGAAGTCTGAGAGACGATATGTGGAATATTACGAATGGCTGGCGTTAGGGATTGAGGGCATGGGGATCCAGGTGGAGTTAGGGCTAGGATTTGCCTTCTCGAGTGATATTACTCAATACCAAAGATCTTCAAATGCTGGAAATTTATACATATAGGGGGGGAGTTGGTGGCTATCAATGCACTGCTTTGAGAATCAGACGATACAAATCAAATTGGTATATTGATCGACTATTATTTGCCAATCATGGTCATACATGTGATCCATCCCCCTCCATCCGCATACCAGAACTCGTTTTTGCGCCTCATTATTGTATCCATCCCGCATCAGTAGCATAACAGCCGTCTTCTGGTAATAGCCCTATCGTTCATAATCATGATTTTCTGGACTCCCTTGACTCTCATTACAATGCTTTCCACTTGGTCTGCCTTAGTCGTGGCGACGTCTGGATGAAGAGGCTTCGTCCAAGGCATCTTGCCGACGTGAATCACGACTTCTCCTCTTTGGTGAAGAGCCGCTATCGAGACGACGCGAATCGTGGCTTAGCCGTCTCGGCGAAGCATTGTTGTTTGAGCGATCACGACGACGCGAATCACGGCTTCGTCGTCTCGACTCAGCATTGGGCGTCGCGCTGGACTCCAACGCTGAATCATCCTCAAGCTCGACAATACGGCCCTCACTGTCGACCACTTCTGTCTTGCCTTCTGCTGCAAGTCGTACTTCCTTGCCTCGTTTGTGGCAATACCAGAAGAAGAAAAGTAGAACTATAAAGTTAGAATGCATACCGTGACGTAGAGTGGAATAACTTACCAAATAGACCCAAGCTAAGCAAAACATTCGTGCCCATGAATGCAGGCCACCTCAACTTCAGGGAATTCATGATCGTCTTTAATAACCCGGCCACCGCTCCCGGTTTCGTGACAAGGTCTTTCAAGCCGTTCGGCTTTAAGAATCCCTTAGCTGCTCCCATAAATCCCCCGCCAGCTGCTGCACTAGCAGCACCTTCCGCCATACCTGACTTCTGGGCCTCTGCGGCGGTAGCCAAAAGCTCTGGAGCCAGCGAACTAGTCCACTTTTCGGGCAATTGCGCGATTAATTTCTTCATGAACGAAGGAAGTTGCTCATACGTCTTCGAAAGTGTGCCATGCGAGTCATCCAAAAGATGGATCAGATCATCGTATGCAGTTGGGACACCGTTGACGAGGTCTTTAAGCACAAGGGTGAACTTCTCCATGAGCTCGTTGGATTCCTTTGAGAGGGACAGTGCGCGGTTGTTGACTGCCGACAGGTTGAGGTCGTTCAAAACTCGGGTGATATCATCTTCCTCTTTCTCAACCTCTTCCGCCGGGAGATTTGCCTTCGCATTTTTGTCGTCTTTCTTCGACTTCGTAAACAAGGACGAGAATCGGTTTTCCTTCTTCTTCGCTTTCTCTGGACCCTTCTCGTTCTCCTTGTTTTTGCCCTTGCTTATAGACCTCTCTAGCTGCGGCGTGCTTTCATCGGCGACAACGATCTCTTGGTTCGGGGCAGTCGGGCGTTCGGGAAGTGGTGGCGGTGTCCCTTCAGAGACGAGGTGTTCGATGAATCTCTCATTGTCGGGGCTTAGAACTGGTTTGAGTGGCGGCGTTTGAGCAGCATCTTCTCGGGCTCGCTTCTCAGCTTGGTGCTTCTTTACTTTCTTATATGTGAAGTATTCCAGCATCTTGATAGCTCTTATCAGATACAAAAGTGCAATATCCAGATGTTGCGAGGAGGTTGAATCAGAGAGGTTGGGTTCATAAATGTTGACGGGTGGCGTAGTGCCAAGATTACACAGAGGGGCATCTGTGGCTGTGCAACGACGTCACAAGCACTGATAGCTTGTGACAGGAGTTAGCCAAGCTTTTATCATAACATCTATAACATAAGTTAACTTACTACATCTTAATATGCTTATATTTCGCAAAATTTAAGCAACCCAGTAAAGATAATCAAGTCCTGGCAGATGGATAATTATTGAGACTCACAGTCACCTCAGACACTGGCGAAGATTTGGTATAGTATGGCCTCTGTCCGTTCATGATTGGTAGTATGGCCTCTGTCCGTTCATGACTGGTAGTATAACCTCTGTTCGTTCATGAGCTTGCTTTTGGTTTCTCATTTTATAAAAACGGGGATCTAATCGCTATGGAATATATCTAACGCACGCCAAATGAAGAGCTTTCGTCAATTACTGGTGGTAATCCATTCGGCTGTCTCCAAGAACCCTGTATATTTCGTCGACAATATCTTGCTGGCCGCTTGGTGCGCCCCTCACAGCGAGAAACTTCCTGCAGTCCACAGACACTTCTTCCCCTGGGTTGCCGCTTCTCATGATACCACCGGCCTCTTCAAGGACGCACCATGCCGCTGCGACATCCCACGCCCAGCATCCTCCTTCCCAGTATACGTCTAGCTGGCCAGCCGCTACGGCGACGAGGTTCAGCGCCGCAGAGCCCATGGATCTCAGACTGTGTACCATGGCCCCTCCCTGCTCCTTGGATGCAGCAAGCTTGGCGAAGGCCTTGACTTTTATGTCGAAGTTGATCCCGTTGCGGTCCGAACCCCATTCCACGCCAACAATGCAAGTGCTCAGGTCCTTCAATGGCTCAGGGCTGGCCTTCAAAGGAAGTTTTTGCTTTGGGCCACCGTTTTGCGACAAGAAGGAGCCTTGGCCCTTAATGGCAGTCCAGAGTTCGTTGAGAAAAGGGTTGTAAATGACGCCGACAGTTGGCACCCGGCCCACCGTAAAACCAAGGGAGACGCAGACGCTTGGAAAAGCGTGGACAAAGTTCGTCGTGCCATCTATCGGGTCCACAACGAACGTGGGAGCATCAGTCAATGGCTGGCCCGGATAGTATGTCTCCTCCCCAATGAAGTCAAACTTCGGGTATGCTGTGCGCAATTCAGAGGTCACCATGGCCTCTACGGCCTTGTCAGTTTCAGTGACAAGGTCGGCAGCTACAAGATATCAGCCGAATCATATGAGGAAGCATTAGAACCGGTTGGTTGCCCAAACCGTGCTCTGGACTTTATATAGTGGGGGCGTACAGTTCTTCTTTGTGTCGGAACCGAGCGTTTGCGGGGTTGCAGACATGATCATCTTGCCCGCCTGGTAGGCGACCTTGACCAAAAGGTCATGGATCTCTGTGAGATTGATATCAGACATGCTGGGTATAGTGTTTCTCTGATTGCGAAGGAATTGGTGATTTGGCAATGATAGTTGTGATTGAGGTGGGGTATGTAAATAAGGCGGGGGTTATAATTTGGCTGGTACGTACTCCTATAGCTCTGGGGAAACCCACCGCCTGGCAGAAAAAGTCGAGCCTCAAGACCAGACGAAGCGCCAAACGCGCCTCTGGCAAGTTGCATGAATGATTCAAAGAAAAAGATTGCAGCTACAGTTTGCCCGTGTTATCGGGTATAGAGGTTGTAGAGGAGCACAATACCTTGTGGCTGCTCGAACCTTCTCCGCAATGTCTTCCTCCGAAACCAACTCCGTCGCAAAGGACATCAATGCAACTCCTGCTGTCAGTCAACATATCCACCACGATGGAAAAGACTACAGCACAATAAAAGAAGGGCTTGCGTATATTCTTGTCCCTGGAAATGGGCCTTTGGTGCCCCAAACCAACCCAACTGGCGACAATCAATCCCAATCGGTCTTTTATAACCCAATCCAACAATTCAATCGCGACCTGAGTGTTTTGGCTATCAAGGCATATGGAGAGGATACGGTTGCTAAAAAGGAAGCTGAATCCGAGAAGAGGCGCAAGACTGCGAACGCAAAGAGCAGGAAACGGAAGCGCGTGGACGAAGCTGTGAATAAATATGGCGCGGAGGACCCAGCGGCACCAGAGATGACGATCATCGACAGTGTTGAAGCAGTTACCCTTGCCACAAATAAAGTATCAGAACAAACAGCTATGGAAACAGATGAACCAGCGGCGGTGGAACAAAACGAAATGAATAAGCCCAAGCAGCAAGAGCAGTTTACCATCCTCGACGCCCTTTCAGCAACTGGCCTACGAGCCCTCCGGTATACACAAGAAATTCCGTTCGCCACCTCTGTCACAGCTAACGACCTTCTGCCGGAAGCTACCCGGGCAATCAACCTGAACGTCCTCCATAACAAGCTCACGTCAAAGATCAACTCCGTCACTGGTAACGCAATAACCCACATGTTCAACTCTGCCAGTGAAATACCCCTTGATTCCCATCGATATAAGCCCTCCAAGAAATACGATGTTATCGACCTCGACCCTTACGGCACGGCAGTTCCCTTTCTCGATGCAGCTGTTCAAGCTGTCCGTGATGATGGAGGCCTTCTCTGTGTAACCTGCACTGATGCTGGTGTCTGGGCCTCGAATGGCTACCCAGAGAAGTGCTACTCTTTATATGGAGGATTACCACTCAAGGGTATACACTCGCATGAAGGCGGGTTGCGACTGATACTTCACGCCATCGCCACTTCTGCTGCGCGCTATGGGCTTGCTATCGAGCCTTTGCTCTCTTTGTCCATAGATTTCTACGCCCGGGTGTTTGTGAAGATTCACAAGTCCCCGGCAGACGTCAAATTTCTTGCTGGTAAAACAATGATGGTTTATAACTGCGACCAGGGATGCGGATCTTGGGAGACGCAGCTCTTAGCAAAGAACCAGGTGCGGCCGAACAAGAGCGGGAAAGGCACTTTTTGGAAACATATATTTGCCCAAGCGCCTACCACAGGACAGAACTGTGAACACTGTGGGTGGCATCGACACCTAGGAGGGCCAATGTGGGCGGGCCCGCTACACGACGCGAAGTTCATACAGCGTATCCTCGACGAGCTGCCAAAGGTCGATAAGGAGACTTACCAAACCACCACGAGACTCGAAGGGATGCTGTCTATGGCGCTGGAAGAGACACTGCCACCCCCGCCGCGGACAGATGACCTCGTTCCTCCACCAATTCCAAAGGGTAGAGCAGATCCATCGGTAGTCGATCCATTCCCATTTTACTTCATTCCGTCAGTATTGTCGAAAGTGATTCATTGCATCACTCCCGACGAGAATGCCATTCGTGGTGCACTCAGACATGCAGGCTACAGGGTCACACGCAGCCACACCAAAGCAGGAACCATCAAAACGGATGCGCCGTGGAGTTTTATATGGGAGGTTATGCGTGAATGGGCAAGGCAAAAGGCCCCGGTTAGGGAAGGGGCTGTTAGAGAGGGAACTCCAGGATGGAAAGTAATGGGATTTGATAAGAAGCAGGCGGAAAATGAAGAAGCAGGAAACGGGGACAGCGAAGGCAATGGGCGTCTGGAGATCGTCTTTGATGAGTCGCTTGGGAGAGAAACGGATAAGAAGAAGCTGGTGAGGTATCAAATGAACCCCAGGGAGAACTGGGGACCGATGAATAGGGCCAGGGGTCCTCCGTGAGACAGCACATAAGAGTCCACATGGCTGGCCCATTTTTGATGTTGTATTAAGCGTTAATCATAAACTTAGAAGCCTACCACTCTGCTTTAGATTATTTGTTTCTTGATTATTAAACTTGATTAATCACAATTTCAGCGAAGAAAGGAGACGCCCATCTGCACTTGCATCCAAATCCAAAATATACAACGCACGTGACTTCGTGTAATTTACGTGTCGTGTGCTCTGACGCCCAGGGACCAGGCGTGAACGAACTTCATATCAACGCCAAATGTTCGCTCGGAAAGATGCAGTTATAACCACAACTGCAGTATGCCGAGTTGAAGTGAGGCGCAATCCAGAATGTGGGTCATCGAGAGTGATGGTGACATCTTTAACGGTATGTATTCGAAGTAGAGGCCCAACCCGATGGTGGCAGGCTGTATGCTGATCTGGCACAGGCAAGCGACTCTGGCTTCGCCCGGGGAAAAGATTTATTTTGGGACGAACATTAGCAGATTGTAAGGTCCCTCTCAGTGCCATCCTTATCGTCTGCTCACATGTTAGCTAGCCGGCGGCTTCGCGATCGCGAATAAAACCATATCCAGGAAACACCTGGTCGTTGAAGTGGACGAAGTTAAGCCTGGAGATTGCGTGAGTTCATACACCCGACCTTCTACAGATATTATTTCTAACATACCAAAAGGCGCGCCTAAACAACCGATCGCGAATTACCCTGGAGGATCTCAATACAAAGATAGGAACGTTGGTCAATAATATTCAGATCAGAGGCCAGCGCCATGTACTTGAAGATAGTGACTATGATATACGATTGGGGCAATATGAAAAGATTTTCAGGTCTCGTCTTACAACTGACCTTTTGATCTCGACTTGATTACTGACAAACTGTAGAATTCGATGGATTCCAGTTGTCTTGACATTTTCCTTCACTGGAAAGGAACTCCGCAACAACCAGATTTCCTCGTTCGTTGAACTCCTGGAGCGCCTCGATATAAAGGTTCTCGTTGAATATGCGCACCAAAGTACAACCCATGTCGTGGCTAAAAAGCGCAACACATCCAAAGGGCTCCAGGCACTCATCAACGGGAAATACATCGTCAACCACTCCTTTATCGATGCAATCGTCAACGTTACCACGGCAGATCCTGGCGCTGAATCAGCTCTTGAATCAGATTTTGACTCAAATTGGCCAAAAGAACTTGATCATATCCCCCCAATGGGCCCCGAACAGACGGACCGACCATCCTCGTCATACCAACCAGACCCTGCAAGGTTGTCCATTTTCGAGGGCTATACGTTTGTGTTCTACGAACAGTCGCAATTTGACAATCTAATTGCGCCAATAACGAACGGCAAAGGGAAGGCTTTGCTCCATCAGGTAAATCCAGCTAGCACAACAGCAGAGGAGTTCGTGCGATATGTGAAGAATGTCGCAGGAGAAAAAGGCGCGGGCGAATTTGAAGATGGTAGTACTGGGACAGGAGTGGTGGTTGTGAGATACCAACCCGTAAAAGGGCTAACATTGCCATTTTACTCGGACTTCGGCCAGCAAGTTTCATTGCAGCTTGATCACCGATTAATTGAGCAAAGCGAGTTCTTAGATGCTATTTTAAACAACGATGCCAGTGTGCTACGGAGGCCCCTCGAGGTTGAATCGTCCGTCGTACCAGCAATGTTGACGACGGATGAGCCTCGCAGAACCATTACGAGTGCATTGGAAGAGAAGGCAGAAGCTAAACCTTCTGTAGTAGCACGTCGTACTCGTTTCTCTAGAAGCTCAGAGGAGAAGCAGCCGCCCTCAACTGAAACCGTTGAGCCACCAGCAAGGCGAGTGGGAAGGTCGAGAAGGGCAGTGACCAGCAGGTTTACTGGCTTCGACGACGAGTTTGATGGTGGTAACACTGATAAGCCAAACGAAACTATTGTACCGGCCAGCAACTTGCGACCACAAGATTCTTCAGCCATGGACTACCAGAATACCACTGAAGTTGACCAAGCTGTAGTATCGCAGGAGCCACGAGTGCGCACGAAGCGCCCACTCCCACAGGTGCTGGAATCAGACAATGAGGATATCATGGATCAACTTGCTCCAGCCGCGGCGAAACTGAAACGGTTGCGACTTGCTAATGGAGAACCAACACCACCCCCTGGTCAACCTTTGGCAGCAGCGGAACCAAAAGCATGTTCCGCAGAGCCGAAGGAGGCCGCAAAGAAACCCCGGAAACTCAAGAAAGAAGCCGATGCTCCTGCATACTTGCAACAAGGGACGGAAACCTCTCTCACAAACTCCCAGCTAGATGCCTTGGGTGAGGGCGCTGAAGATGTGGATGCTGCCGAAGTCCGGAACCTCTCGTCGATTAAAGAAATTGAAGTCAAGCGCCCAGGTGCAGCAGTCCATGCGAGAGAAGAGGCCAGAAGTGATCGCTGGGATGAGAAGTGGAATGGCCGTCTGAATTTCAAGAAATTCAGGAGAAAAGGGGGAGATAGGCCACCCGCCGCACACAAAGTTATTGTGTCGCTGGAAGTGGCGAAGCAAAAAGATTTCGGCATTGGTAATAGTTATTGGCTTAAGAATGATAAAGCATCCCAGTTGAGAAAGAAGGACAAGTCGCAAAGAACTAGCAAAAACGAGTCGCCTGTCCAATCTCAGACCCTGACGACGAGAAGCGATGTCGAAGAATCTATTATGGACTCATCTAACCAACGGCCATCACTCTCAAAGTCGGCGAGGGATACTAGGAAATCAGAGAGCCTACCAAATAGCGGTCACTCTGGCCGATCTGCGTCGAACAAGAGACCTTCTACCGAAGCTTTGATGAACCCACACCCAGTTAAAAAGGCGAAGCGCCCCTTTCAGAAAGAAGACAGTGATGACAGTGATGACGGGCTTGGGTTCCGGTTCCAGAAGAGAAAATGAGGACAGTTTAATTAGGGCCGATTATTACTCCCTACGAAAGCTGATGTGTGGATCCAGCTTATGTTGTCCAACAGCTGAACTGAAACCGGTCTATATTACCACCACACTTGATCAGCCGGATCCTAGTATGGCTCTACGAGGCCAATACGCGATTAAGTACTCTCACCCTCTTCAGATCCGTCCCAGACTGTCCTACGTCGATCGTAGGCATCGTCAGGATACAAGTTGAGGGACGCGACCGTGTAAGTCCATAATATGGCATCAGTATTGCCGTCTCCTGTTAAAAAATGCAAGGAAGAGGCCGTGCGGGTTGAGAGAAATTCTGAGCGAGGGCCTGTGGAACAGTTTGTCGGAGAGGGGCCTTTCTGTCCAGGGCCTGCGAGCTTATGGGCTATTTATTATATAATACACTCATATCGAGTGGAAATGATAATCTTCACCCTATAAAGTATATATTGACCTCAAACCCCTCGATACGATCATAATCATGTAAACAAAAATTTCTTGCAACTCGCACAGGATTGACAACCGCACGAGGTCCAAAGGTGGCATAATCCAATGGTATCATATATCGATTAGTCTAGTGCCTCAGTTTCTATCATTACACATGCCCGCTATAAATGCAGAGGAAACCTATATACTCTAGTCCATACTCTCTAATGCACTGACCTCCTTCACCTCTGATTCTCCCACAGCAATGCCAACCAAGCACGCCCCAAGCATCCCTTCCCAGTTTACCCAAGGATGGATCTCAGCGAATAACTTCGTGCCATCCCGACCAGCACACTTCATGAGCTCAGGTTCTCCGCCAGGATGGTATGGCAGATACGGCGTGATATTATACACCTTCCCCCCCAACACCGTCCAAGCATCCTTCCCCTTTCGCCCCGTATAGTGCCGCAACTGCGAGGGCGTAACCTTCAGATACGGAGTATCTGCCGGAAGCCCCCGCAGATTGGCATTCGGCGCCTCGGACAACTTAGCCCAATCAAGCGGGGAGTGGCCAGGCGTCAACCCAACCTTTAGCCTGGGCTTGGGAGGAATCGAGCTATGTGTCGGCGGCGGCGCCAGGGAGAAGTTTCCACCGCGGTTTGGGGCAGGCGACCGCCCTGGTGGAGACGCGGAATAGACCGAGCGAAGAGGGGGTTGCACTAAAGGTATGGGGTTTAACCGTGGCGCGCCGCGGCTGTCGGAAGCGCGCTGTGCGGAATTGAGAGCTGGGAAGGGAGGAAGCGCGGGGGCGGAGAGGCCCTGGCCTCGAGCAGATGGCTGTGATGGTGCAGCTGGGCCATTTCGAGATGCGCCTTGTGCTGGTGGAGCTCCATTGCTGGGTGCACTCGGTGGTTTAACCAGGAAGCTTGGAGGAGGAGGCATTGCCTTCCGGTCCATCTCAGCCTTGGCTTCCTTCGCGCCCGCATCCGGAAGTGTGATGTCCTCCTTGTCTTCCTTCTCTCCCTTGCCATCTCCCTTGGTTTCACCCCCATCTTCTACCTGGCCCGCCTTTGTCTTATCCAGATCACCATTCGAGACATCGCCGCCGCCGTCAGCCTTCCTCGGGAACCAGGCGGCTAGCCATGTTGAGGGCGGCACCTTGAAGAGGAAGATTGTGAAAGTGGCGATTAGTATTGCCACGCCGATCAGAGTCATAACAGGGTTGGACGCGGGGAAGGGCGCCGCTATGGCCTTGGGGAGAGGCGAGGGTATAAGATGAGATGTTATGCGATGCGATGCGAGTTAGTTTGAAGGGGGAAATATATTATAGTTCGTGAAGTTCGTGAGACAGAAGATGCGATAAGCATATAAGAGTTACTCTTATCAGAGTTACTTAGCCCAAAGTACTTGTGTACTGCCGAGGGTGGGGATGGTGGTGGTGGCTTGACAGGAGTACATGAATAGAGGTACTGACTGTACAGTCCGGGTGCATCGATCGGTTGTCTTTGTTTACGTTGCGAAGTAAACTGAGACAGGGGACACCGGCGATGATGAGCGGCAGAAATTTGATCCGGTTACCATGTAAATAATAGAAGGCAGCAAATAGAATAGATAAGTTATAATACAATAAAGATCTCCTCCTTCTCCCCGCTGATACTCATCCGTAGAGGGGTAAAAGTAATTGCGTGGGTTGACAGTCGAATGACCAAAAGGTACAGTACATATTGGCGCATTTCCACGGCCAAACTCCAATCGAAGATCATAATAACGGCCCACTCCAAACAAGACCACACCGCATCATACCCAGCATCACCAACAACACCAACACCAACAGACAGTACCACCCGACAGTCAAAAGGATTGCCTGCTCTGAACCCCGACGAGCAGAATGCGATAATGCGAGCGCCGAATGGTCCTCTAACTTCGAAAAGCGGCAATGCCATGCCTGTCGATAAGCCGAATCCTCATGGCCAGAGGCCAGTCATGTCGCCTTTGGGCGCAGCGGGCATGAAAACAATAAACACCACACCTTTGACTCCCAAAATCGCAGGCGCAAGTCCTGCAAACGTTGTGACACCATTGCTTCGACGAGCGACGCGTCAGGACACCACCACCAGCGGCCCTCAAAGGGACGAACGCACAGCAACCCCCGTCGGCTCCTTTCTCAGCGACAACATCACACCAAGGTCCGGGTCGAGAAAATCGAGGCTGGATAGTGCGAACCCGACTCCCACTGGCACTCCGACAGCACTGAGACCAACGGAGCCCACTCTTGCATCTGGAGGGAATCTGGTGTATAGCGGGGGTCTGCTGTCTCAACTCGACGACCTCCCGCCAAAGCCCACTGTCTCATTTAGCCCAACCATATCGGATGTTGGGAGTGCACAATCGCAGCAAGCGGGGAAGTTCTTCTATGCCAGCGACGCAAAATCGAATAACTCACAACCCTCTCGCCAACGCCCCGGTGCTCCAAAGCAGAACAGCTTCCTTTATGCGAACGGGAACGCAATTCCCTCCCCCACAAACCAACATGGGCCATCGCCAACTTTGCCCGCATCGGAGGATAAATCCAGGCCGAGATTTGTTCACGCCAATGGGATCCCGGATATTACAAAGTTACCATACACCCGCGCAGGATCGACAGTGTCAACCGCACCATTTTCTGGACCACCTCGACTTGCATTCCAAGGCCGGCCCTCTAGGCCATCACGGCCCTCATCACCTACGAAGCCTGCTGATCACAACAATACCTATGTGGCCAGAAGGATTTCAACCGTTTCGCCCCCCTCAATCCCAGTTCCCTTTTCGCCTCCTTTGGCCTCAGCAGCCTATGCTTCACCTCCTCTGGCCTCGGCACCCTATACTTCGCCTCCCTTAACTCAAGCACCCTATACGTCACCACCACTTTATCAGAACGGGGCCCCTACTTCCGGAGACGAGGGTCCAACGCCCAATCCTTTTTGGTCTCGTGCCAAATCTCCCGGCGTTGGCCAACTAGACGAGTCACGCTCGGCGGTAGAGTCGAATGAAGTTCGCAATGTGCCTCTACCAGTTACCATTGACAGGACAAGCCTTTCTTCAACAGAGGAAGGTTCGGAGCCTGCCTTGGCAGATGATTCATCCTCGGTTTCCGGATTGAGGAGCCCAGTGAAGGCCGGAGGCTCGCTGGAGCAGTTAAACGAACTTGCTGCAAATGCCCGGCGGGAAAGGAAGGTGCTTGACCTCGAGATAACAAACTCGTCACTTGCAGCAATCAACCGAACCCTTGAGCGCGAGATGCGAAAGCAAAGCGCTGAACTACGGAGATATCGCCGACTGAGTCGGTCTGGACGCCTCTCTATAGCTACAGCAGCGACCCGGTCCTCCATTGGTAGCCATCTAAGTCTGAGTGGAATTAGTGAAGAAGATCAATTTTCCGATATGAGCGGCGAGGAGTACGACGATGAAGGCGACGACGACGCCTCTGAGTTGGACTCTGTCGATGACGGGACCCTCAGCCCTACTGCTTTGGCAGAAAGCGATGCACGCCACAGAAAGCGTGATGAAGAGAGATTACAGCTGGATCTAGAAAAATACCAGCAGCTTCTGGTCGATAGCCAGAAGATGAATCAGAGTATAAAACGATGTCTTGGATGGACGGAAGAACTTATACTTGACGGTAATAAGGCACTAGCTTATAAAGTGCATGTCAGCGACGTTGAACTTGGAGGGCGCGTGCTTATTGCGGATGATAACGACGATGACACCGAGACCGTTGTCTCAGGAATTTGAACGGCCTTATCCATCAAAACTCTCAGGATGAGGCGGCGATATTCGGAATTCGAGCGGAGATCATCGCGCCAACGTCCCGGTCGAGATTTTGAAGGCGTTTATAAGGCGTAATTGCTACAGATGGAGATGGTGCGCAGGCGACCGGATAATAACATCTTTGGCTTTGGGGTTGTGTGTAGGGAGTTAGCAGCGTGGTATCGCTCGGAGTTTGTTTGGGGGAAGGAGGCTATGAGGTCCACTCGCTCATTTAACATCAGTTCATTTGTTCTGTACAGTATGATACCCAAGGTAGATATGCCGCCATTTGGCTAGGAAGAAGAATAGGCTATTTTCATTTGTAAAAATATCGCTAGCTAAAATAAAGCACTTCAAATTGTGTTATGGGGGTTGTATCCTTGCTTTCGATGTGCAGTGTACGACTTCATGAATCACGTAGCTGTAAAATTCGAAACTGCAAGTTGAAATTGTGGTTGTTAAGAACCCCAAGCAACCTTGATATCCAGGAAAGCTTTATGGGTATTTCCTCTCGGACATTATTGCATTGCTATCTCAATGACGTCTCACTTCTAAATTATCTACTCATCCCCTTTACTTTGGCACGTTTGGAGCATCCGCAGCAGCGGCAGCAGCCTCAGCCTCCTTAGGTACGGGAGACTTGGCGCCGTCAGCCTTCTTATCCTTGCCCTTCTTCTTCTCCTTCTTAGCTGCAGCTTCCGCAACTAATTGTTCAAATGCCATATAATCACCCTCCTCCTCGGGGTCACGCTTAGCCTAGTATAGTCAGCATCAAGTTGTATAGATAGGGATATAGAATGCAACATACCTTCGCATATATTTCACCACTGATAACCAGAGCCTGGGCTCTCTCCAGACGCTTCGACATCGGCACCCTCTTGTCGTGTAGGACCTCGTCACAAACGTCTCTTAGTACACCCTGGATTTCGAACTTGCTTCCGCGCCACGCAGCGGTGAGGATCTTTCCAGTCACTCGTCTCTCGTACTCAACACGTCTCTCATCTGTCCAGTCCTCTCCGCCCTTCTCCTCCATCTTGGCCATCTCCTCCATGGTCATCTGTGCGTCGATTGCACTGGAAATGGTGTTCCAGGTATCCTTTGCCAGGGTTCCCTTATCCTTCAGCCGCGAAAAGAAGCCCCCTATTCCGAGGAACTTCTGTGACTTTAACAAAGCGCCAGCTTTTGACAAGTAGGTAGCTCCTATCGCGTGCAGAATATCGAGTCCGAAGGATTCCATCTTCAAGTTCTCCACCTCAAGTCTCGTCTTCTCCTGGAATGCTTTGGTCACATCGTCTCCCTTGTCGGTCTCGGTCCAGATGCTGATTCGATCAATCATCTTCTTGGCCAGAGTCTCTACGCGCTCCTTGCGGATATTTATGCGCTCCTTCTCATATTCCGCCAACTGCTCACGTTGCTCTTTCGACAAGCCAGCCTTCTTCTTCTCCTTCTTGCGAAGCTCCTTCTCCTCCTCAGTTATACCAGCAGCATCTAGTTGCGCCTCAGAGTCGCTCTTAGACATGATCGCAGGCCGTGTTGGTATTCCTCTCCCTGGGGTGGATGTGCCAGACGCAGAAGGTAAGGTCGGGTTCGACAATGGCTTCTCTGTCAGGGGGTCAGTTTCGTAGCGTTTCCCGGTGGTATGATCGAATGCGTATGCCTTCTCTGTCTGAGGTTCGGTCGCATCGGCTGCTGATGCGGCAGGTGGGGGAGATGAAGCCGCCTTTTCGTCTGTCGGGACTTTCTCTCCAGGAACACCCCCTTGGGCTGCTGCCTCAGTCGCGGCAGCATGATCTTCGTCCTCTCCCTCCGCTTCCCCTGTCATGGTAATGTCCATCGTCTTCGTGAGATCCTTCATAAGTGATATTTCGCCAATCAAATCCACGAATGCGTCTCCTCCAAAGATCGTTCCGAAAAATTCGGCAGGATCCGTGAAGCCCTCACTGGGCTGGGCATGGTCTTTTCCGAATTTATCGTACGATCTCCTCAGGTCGGGGTCGCTGAGGACTTGGTAGGCTTCACCGATCGCTTGGAATTTGGCGTGTGCAGTCTCGTCGCTGGGGTTTTTATCTGTCTCATCAGTCTTATATTCCAAGGGTCCATATACCGCAAATGAAACCTACCTGGATGGTGTATAATGGCAAGCTTTCTGTATGCCTTCTTGATCTCCAGCTCGGTGGCCTCCGGCTTTACCGCAAGGACATTGTAGTAGGTGAGGTCTGCGACCATCTTGGCGATTTCCGAATGCGCCGATATGAGGGGCAGAGGAGGGAGGGGCAGAGGAGGGAAAGGCTGTTCGCTGGGATAGTGACGTTGGCTTAAGAGCGGGCAGCCTTATCTGACCTGATATGTTGTATGAGTTGAGAATAAACCCAAGCAATAGCTGGTTGACGTTTGGGTTGATGAACAGATACAAATAGTAACGTTATGGGTTGGTGGGGAGAAGTACAAGGCTGGTGGTTACTTTTCAGGTAGCGTCGTTTGCTGCCGTATCATCATCTGTGGCGCAGCAGCTCAGAACGTGGGCGACGAAGCCACGATATGCGATAAACAAGGCTTCACAGAATGGCGGAATTCGGCAAACTAGTGAAAAATCACCTGCGCATGCGCAGGTGATTCCTCGTTTCCAACGAGAATTTTGATATATAGCCTATATAAATATCATTTTTCGGAAGTAAATTGCTCTATATAGCCTATAGTCTACTATATACTAGAAGGTATGCCACCACTGTACACTTCTATTATTGTTTTCTCGCCATAAACGAGCAATATCAATGTCCTTCTTCATAAGTACTGCTCTTTTCCCTCGTGCCCCACGATGCATATAAGTAGCTATAAAGTCAACCTCTTGCCTTGCTAAGTCTGCATCTGCTTTATCAGCTGCTATACGCTCCCCCCAGAGAGTACTATAGAGCCTCGTTATAGACGAGAATTCGCCATACTTCTTCCAAAATACCTCCCAGTCCCTCTGGCAGGCAACAAATGAGTAATAAACAAACTAAAATAGTCGTTAGTATCGAGGTAATAAGGTGTATTATCGTAGCTTACCCTCCAATGACACCAGTTATTCTTAATTACCTTCCAGTAAGTTGGAAGGTTGTCTTTATATAGTATCTTCCAATACTTAAGTGGTATACTTTGGTCGTTAATAACGAGGGTTTTTTCCTCGTCCCAGTCGAGGATAAGTTGTGGTAATTCCTTGTATGCCTGATATGTTTTTGATGGTGGGATAGGAATTAAGGAAATAAGAACAAGTTCTCCTTTGTTAAGGAAATCAAGCTGTATATAACCCTCTCTGTCGTTGGTAGTGACCCTTTTTGATGAGGTTGGTGGTAAGTAGAGTAGCCGAGGTCGCTGAACTATAGTAGGCGACGACCCTACTCTCTGGTTTTCCTCATTGTCAACGACCCTTTTGGCTTCTTTGTCTACTCTCTGGTTTTCCTCATTGTCAACAACCCTTCTGGCTTCTTTGTCTGCGTTGTCCCTTTTCCTTTTTGGCTCATTTGGAATGACAAGTTTATAGGATTCCTCAATAGGACCGATGTATTTCTTACAACCTTTAGCACCTATATATAAGTAAATATAGTAATATATTACCTTTCAGCTTCATATTTAGCTAGGTTAAAGGCATTGGCCCAGCTTAAAAGTCAGTTTTTCTCAGTAATTGTTCTTATATCAGAATCAATTATATTTTTAGGTGGAATAAATGATTCAATTGATGTATGGCCTGCATCAATTTCTCGTTGTAGATGAGTGTTTGAAGACATCTTCTTATCTCTCAATGGGAGCGACATTTTTAATATAGTTGTAGCTAAATTATTTTATGATGTTATTTAATAATAATGCCTCTATATATATTTAATAGGAGGGTACAAATGTCTCGTTGTTAGCGAGGATTAGTCTCATTGTTAGCGAGGATTAGTCTCATTGTTAGCGAGGAGTTAGGGTTATTCCTCGTCCTTAGCGAGGAATCTAATGAGGCTCTACACAGATTATATAATATAGAGCGCCTTCCCTCGTACCTTTCCTTTTACCTACCTTTCCCTTTACCTACTATTAAAGCTTTAAGATGGATACACTCGCTGAGAACGAGGATTTTGAAGATAGAGAGGATCTTATTACAGCAACAGGGCAATTACTAGCTGACGAGTTACAAGCCCAGACTGCGTATGAAGAATTCAGTTTTCGTCAAAGTACAAGCCAAATTAAGCAGTCGTCAAATGCTGCTTTAGCACCTACAACACATGCTGCATATACCTCGTAGGTAACGAGTTATTATAAAACGCTCATCTCTAACGAGATATTAGGATGCATACACAATTCCTTATATTTATTAAGGCAAAGTACCCTATACAAGGTGAGGATGGGGTTAATACAGCTTCTAATAAGTGTCCACAATATATTTGTGAGTGGATTCAGGATGCTTGTGAAGTCCTAAGTACAATAGAAGGGGTAAGGAAAGTTGGAAAAGGGTCGTCCAGGACAAAGAAGCTAGTTGACTCGTCAGGAACGAAGGATTGTGCTGCTACATACTCTCATGCTCTAAAAATGAGGGCAGCTATAAGCTTTTGGTTTGCCTATATATGCCCACATCAGTGTGGTCATGGGGAATGGCTTCAAGTTGTTGAGAGTGGTAATTGGCAAGGAAATCCCTCGTTATCAACGACAGTTTCCCGCTATATGAGAGCCCTAAATAAGATGAAGGTAAATTCTCTCATTCCCATCGAGGTATTTTATACTAATAGATTCTAGACACATGCTGGTGAAGTCTCTACAAGTGCAAGAGCTCTTACTTCATATGATTTACAGTGTATGTGGAAGTTTAACCAAGCTATTTCACAGGTTGAGTTTGGTAAAAAACTCATTCATGATGAGCATACATATTATTGGAGTGGGCAGAAGTGTAGGATAATGCTACAAGCTATCTATACACTTGCATTTCAATGCCTACTTCGGATTGATGAGGTATTACAAATTCAAAGTCATCATATCCTCGTTATCAATGAGGAACGAGGTGAAATTCAACTTAACCTTCTCTTCCGGAAGACAAATGTCATACTGACATTCGTTGCACTCAGTTTGCTATCAAACTCAAGAGCAAACTTAGAAATCTCCTCCTCAAACCTACAAGTCACCATACATATCTTGGCTTATCACACCAACAACAGAAGCAATACTACTCAACGATTGCTGCAAACTCTTCTACTACATCTGTTTATGCTACATACATCACGGCATATCATTTGGACACTCATTGAACAAGTTATTAAGAAAATCTCCTCCTTAAGGGGGTGGGCCAATACTACCACATGGCATATCTCTACCAACTAGAGGCCTAGGAACATGAACGATAGCTCTAGAAGCTTCTACAACCCTCTATGATTCATTACACGTCATCGCTCCTTAGTTACCCACAAGATTGGTTAAGTTATGACATAATTTGTCTATAGGTACTCTGACCTTGGACCTCCTTTTCACTTCCTATAGGCTAGGAACCCAAGAGATGGTTCTATGGGATTCTCTTACGTTCACTACATGATTAGCAAGCTAGTTGTGGGTCGCACTTGATTTCTAATACATTTACCAAGCCTGGTTAGTCATGGAAAGTCACAAGATTGGTTAAGTTATGACATAATTTGTCTATGGCATAAATAGGATTGCCCTTTCCTTAAGAAAGGGCAAGCAGGCAATACAGTAAATCGACTAGCACATACTTCTACGTCTTTTCCAAGCTTCCAAGCATTGATCTTGTTATTCTCTGTTTTTGAAAAGTCAGTGAGGTGCTAACCTCTGACTTACCCCTGAGTTCTCAGACTCAACATTTGTTGCAACTTGTCTAAACCACTTCACCACATCATACACCTCATTGCTGCGTTGTGGAATAGTCTAAGCTACAACCCTTTGGCTCTGTTTCCTAAGACAGTGTGTTGTCTTAGTAAATTCATCCCTTCCTTGGGTGGCTAGATTCTCATATCTGGTGCACCCAACATTACAACAAACCAATATGGAGGTGTGTACTCTACTACTTAAATTCCTCAGTACTAATGAGGAATTAGGAATTAAGCCATTTCACCTATTTCTTAACCCACAAGAACCTCACCTTGACCCTGTTCTTGCACTCTTACAATGGATAAAAGTCTCGCAGATAACGAGTGGTTTTATATTTCGTCGTATTGATGCCTATGATCGGGTTATAGCAAGTGATAAGAGCTTAGTATGACTACCTTATATATTAAAATACCTCAGTGTTAATGAGACATTAGGATGCTTCTACATTTACAGAGTATTTTCGACATAATCTCCTCAATATAGGCGTAGATTTTCGACTATATGGAACACACTCTTTCCGTAGAGGTGGCTGTCAATGGCTATATTCAGAAAAGAGATGGGGTCTACGGCAGATATGCGATTGGGGTGGATGGAGTACAAATTTTGACTCAAGCTCTATTATGCGGTATTTAGTCGGCTGGAATGATGATCCTACAAAGAAGAGAGAAGAGTTTATGAATCCTAACCAGAGTGGAGGGCTCCGGTGTATAGTATGTGGACGGGAATGCTGATGTATTGGTAGATAGTAGCTCTTAGAAATACCTCGTTACAACTGAGGATTCTGTCTTGTTTTGATTCTGTCTTGTTGTTTTGCGACCGAGGATTCTGTCTTGTTGCGACTGAGGATTCTTGTTGTGACCGAGGATTCTGTCTTGTTGTTTTGCGACTGAGGATTCTGTCTTTTTGCGACTGAGGATTCTGTCTTTTTGCGACTGAGGATTCTGTCTTGTTGCGACTGAGGATTCTTGTTGTGACCGAGGATTCTGTCTTGTTGCGACTGAGGATTCTGTCTTGTTGTGACTGAGGATTCTGTCTTGTTTTGTGACCGAGGATTCTGTTGTTTTGATTCTGTGTTGTTGTTTTAGATTCCGTCTTGTTGCGACTGAGGATTCTGTCTGTCGTGACCGAGGATTCCCTCTTGTTGCGACTGAGGATTCTGTGTTGTTGTTTTGGATTCTGTCTTGTTGCGACTGAGGATTCTGTTGTTTTGATTCTGTGTTGTTGCGACTGAGGTTTCTGTGTTGTTGTTTTGGATTCCGTCTTGTTGCGACTGAGGATTCTGTCTGTCGTGACCGAGGGTTCTGTTGTTTTGATTCCCTCTTGTTGCGACTGAGGATTCTGTGTTGTTGTTTTGGATTCTGTCTTGTTGCGACTGAGAATTCTGTCTTGTTTTGATTCTGTCTTGTTGTTTTGCGACTGAGGATTCTGTCTTGTTACGACTGAGGATTCTGTCTTGTTACGACCGAGGATTCTGTCTTGTTGTTGTGACCGAGGATTCTGTCTTGTTGTTTTGGATTCTGTGTTGTTGTTTTGCAACTGAGGATTCTGTTTTGTAGAGAGCCTGCGACTAAGAGCCCTTACTGAGAGCACTACCTC